GTTCTTTTAATAAATTATACCATTTCTCATTTAAGACTACTGATAAATGAACAAATTCATAGTAGGTCTGAGTATAAGTTTGAACAACTTTACTCATTTCTACAAATAATATTACATGAAATAACATTAAACAGTCTTTTATACTAAAATTTTATTAAATACGATTATAATTCAAACAGGTTTTACTACATTTACATAAATGTGAATTCAGAGTAAAACAAGGTTATCATAAGATAGAAAGTAAATCTTAATTAATTAAAATCCCATTACCACTAATTTAACATATTTCTTCAACATAACGTAAGTCTATTAGTTTAATTTTAAATTCTTTATGATGTCATCAACATTTTTACACATTTCTTCATTGTCGGAGAATTCGTCTACTGCGTAAACAGATTGGAATAAATCTTTATGTTGGTCATTCACTTTTTCCAGTCTGTTTTCATTATTAACTAAAGTATCAACCATCTCATTGATGATATTGTCTGCCGTCTGAATTGAGGATCCTTCATCAATTCCGATGGATTCTTCAATCTTTATTCTTATATAATCTTGAACGTAAATAAATCCCTCGACCGCAGTTGTTATCGTTCTCATTAAACAGTTGTTACATTTTTCTTGATGATCAATATAATATCCGATACCAACACGAATAGGTATATCAAATCCATTCAACTCTTTGAACAACGCATCGATTGTGTAGAAAGTCACCTCTATTGCTGAACCTTGTATTATATCGGCAACAATCGATTGATGGATTTGTAAAGCCAACCGGGTTTTAAATAGTTCAAGATGTTTATTAAATGTTAATCCCATTTCCTTTTGTTCGTCCATTAGATGAATAATCTTTTCAACCAATGTATCAGATAGGTGCATAAATTCATAAAAAATTTGATGATCAAAATATAAACTTTTAGACATTCTGAAAAACTCATTTGAGCTTTTAACTAATAACATTTTATAATTTACAAACATTTATATACATTTCATTCTGTTTATCGGGACTTTCTGCACTGTCGCATAACCTCCTTAATTCTCGTTATTTCGTAATTGCTTGATTCTTTTTCTCTTGTCCATTGATATGAGATACCCCCTGCGTCATCAATTTGAGGTTGTGTCCGTCCTTTTTTATGCTGTTTATAGATGTCAACAGTTAATTGAGAATCAATTAGCGGACTATGTCCTTTAGATTCGGTATCGTACTCTTGTATATATTTATTTTTAATACTATAGGATAATGTCTTCAAACCGATTTTGTCATTTTTACCATTTTTGCCGTGAAATATAGGTTGAATATCGGTTATTTTCTTAATGGACTTATAGTCACTTAATCCCATTACTTTAAGATCTTTTGAGATATCAGCTCCAAGAATGTGATATCTCTCCAGATAATAGATAACGTGATCTTTCGCTTCTTGAAGACTTATTCCCTGTGTCATTTGGCCATTAGTGACACCAGAGTATTTGGTCATTGGGTTTACATCTTTCGGGTTTTGATAAATAAAACAATGAAAAATACAATTACTTTTCAAGCCGTATTTAATCAATTGTCGAGTTCTTAATCTACTACAGATTGCGACACGTATAGGAACTAACCCATTGCTCTTTTTATTTTTCCCACATTCAATATCGAAGCCCAACTCAACGTCTAAAGGAGGATCCTTATCTTTATGTACCGACAAATTAATCAAATCTATTTTTGGAAGTTTCTTCTGCGTACCTCTCTTTGTTCTCCCGAACCTCTTATTAGATCGTGACGTATTTTTATATTTTACTTCATTATCCTTTAAATTACTTTTATCTGCACTTTGAGAAATCATTCTGAGATCCTTAATTTGTTTACTATCAATCTGCACAATAATTTCATCGTGTTTCTGTGAAGTAATGCCATAATTCACTCTGTTATTTGGTTCCACGTCACTTGTATCGGACATTTTGTATTCACTTTTATATTTCCGATGTTCTTGAAATTCGTAACTTATTCTCTCGGCATTGTACTTTCCTAGATTGAAGTCTTCTGAAACACGAACACGACAGCATAGTATACAAACTACATCCGTCGGATGAATCGTTGATTTATTACATGTTTCTTTACATTTATTAATGTAATTATAGTAATCATCCAGCTTTTTATAAAAAAGAACCTCTGAATCTTTTGTTTTCTTGATTGATATACGCAAAGAGTTACCAAACTTTCTTTTATACATAACTTGTTTAAATTTCGCTATCATTGATTGTAACGAAAACTTAAGAGATTCCACAACGACTAATTTTTCACATAATCTCTTTGAAATCATTGGGTTTCGATATATCATTTGATTAATATTCTTTATTTCCTCCAATATAATGTCATTCCACACCTTAAGTTTCGATCTATATTCCTCATCTCTTTCAAATTCTCCTGAAGTTATTTTATCTTTCGCGTCGTTGGGGTTTTTTCGGGTTACCATCACTGCATAAACATAACAGACGCATTATAAGCTTTTGGAACTGATTCCATGTGTTTAATGCAGCGCGGGACAGAAACTTTATAATCGGGTGCTCGCGACACGCTGGCACACCGTAGTCTCGTTGCTGTTTTGGGTGTTTCAGCTCACCGTCTGTTATATTTCTGGTGTACAGCACACCACTGTTTATTAAGATGTACAGCTCATCTCACAAATGTTGTCCATTGACCATTTCTCGTCTACCATCGAAATCGAAGGACCGGACGATTTGTTTTTTTTTTTATATTTATAATTTTTATTTTTTGGACAAAAGACAAACAATAAACGATGACAAACAACGTCGCATCCTGGTTGGCTCGCCAAAAATGTAGCAATTTCCGTGCGGTAATTCACTAATATAGGTTGAGAGATAGTCCTCTGTTAAAGTCGCGCTTACTATCACCTTCTCCAGCGGTAAAGTTGACACAGAAGCTACACGGATCATCATCACCACGATGATGACACCCTCAACAACAGTGATCGCAACGCATTTGCATTTATATTCATAATTTATAATTCAAAAGTGCCTTATATGTACTAAAATTATCACTTACAAAGTAAACCTCACTTAGCTTTGATTATGTCGAGCCGTTACGATCCTGCCGTTTGTTCCGCTGTCTCGTTGTTTGACATCTCTTGTTTACTATCTATACTCACGATATACACTTATAATACATACCGATTACTTACTCTAACTTTATCATACTTAACCTATGTCCGACTCTTCAGTCAGAACTACTACTTAGATCTATGTTTTCATAGATCTAAACCCATTATTTGACTATTACAGTCTGCAAATATGTCTCGATCGGTGTTTCCACCGAGAGACAAACCTTAAGGTAACATTTCTGTTACCTACTAAATCTATGTCTCGATCGGTGTTTCCACCGAGAGACAAACCTTAAGGTAACATTACTGTTACCTACTAAATCTATGTCTCGATCGGTGTTTCCACCGAGAGACAAACCTTAAGGTAACATTTCTGTTACCTACTAAATCTATGTCTCGATCGGTGTTTCCACCGAGAGACAAACCTTAAGGTAACATTACTGTTACCTACTAAATCTATGTCTCGATCGGTGTTTCCACCAAGAGACAAACCTTAAGGTAACATTACTGTTACCTACTAAATCTATGTCTCGATCGGTGTTTCCACCGAGAGACAAACCTTAAGGTAACATTTCTGTTACCTACTAAATCTATGTCTCGATCGGTGTTTCCACCGAGAGACAAACCTTAAGGTAACATTACTGTTACCTACTAAATCTATGTCTCGATCGGTGTTTCCACCGAGAGACACACCTTTGGATAACATTTATGTTATCAAATATACCTAAGACTGACTATTTCAGTCTGAAACTATACCATGATCCGAGGTTTGCCTCGGATCAAAGCCTGATCTACACTCCTGCAGGTCGGCATACTCTACATGTCCTACCTATGCTCCCATAGGCAGACATAATACATGCCGAATCTACGCTCCCGCAGATTGGCATACCTTAAACTAAAACTTACTTATAGTTGAATCCGTGCTGAGTTGCTGATGTAGTGCGCTCCTGTTTCCGTTTGATGATGACTTTATTAATAACACTAATACTTACATTATAAACTCTGATAATCATACTTACTTAATTAACCTTTAAATTACTTCGCTAGCTTACACTTTCTTAAGGGACTCAGGGCCAAAGGCCCGAGCCCCTCGAAACACTTACTCTTTAGTTGTGTTAAATCCCTTTATTTATGTGTTTCAAGTATAAAAAACAACTAGAGTACAACACTTCACGTCTATTCACTCTGAAGACTTGATGAGAACTCTCTGAGAGTTAGTAAAACACTAACTCTCTTCACAGTGAAAACATAGCGATCACGCATGTATGCGCTGTCGACTTATTTTTCTATTACTGACTTTTCAATATGACGTGATTATACCTAATTGGCTATACATCTAGTTTCGTATATTTAATAGTTAAGCCCTATTTTAACTCTACACCCATTATTCTAAATGCAGTTTAACTCAAACTGAACCTATAATTGATATATCTTTATGGAACCTAAACTTATACTATTTTTCATATAACATTCTCGTTATATTTATAGTATTCAAATAAATCTAAGAGTACCTGTGATAATCATTAGGAGCCGACATCGGCCAAAACAAGATTAGCCCTCTCACCGCCTTAATCTTGACCTAATCCACGTGGTATATCACAATATTATAAATATTAGAAAATATAGAAAATTTTTATTTGTTATAGATTTTAATAAAATAATAATATAAATAAACTATTTTCAATACTATTTAGGTTTGTTTTAATACGGGTATTAATTTTATTAATTTACTTTTAATTTATTTAATTTTATGGACACAAATAATTTTTATATTCAAATAAAATTATTGTTTTATATTTTAATATAAGTTTAGATTATAAAAGTTTTTCAAAAAATTTAGATTATTATTATTATTAGTAGTAATATTAATATTATAAGACAATTATTTTTATTAAATTATAATTTTTAGTCTTTTATGGCCACAATCCTGATATAAGGTATACAATCATCGATTTCTGTTTGCGATTCGTCGGCCAAAAACTGTTTCCACGCGCCGTCGGCTACGGGCGGGTCGTCCGGTTGGTTGCGATAGGCGTCGAACAGAGTGTCCCACAAGTGTTCCCCAACTTCTTCGTCAAATAGTTGACGATTCGGATAGAATTGGCGAAAGTCTTCGACAGCGTAAGGCATCATCTCTTTGATAATAATAATAATAATTATTATTTTTATTATTAATAAATTATATTTTAATCTATAGTGTAGACTATAACTACTGTAGTTTATAATTTATTTTTATATTATATTTCTTAATATTTAGTTTTTTTAATATTTAGTTTTTTAATATTTATTTTTACTTATATTTAGTTTTACTTATCTTTAGTTTCTTATATTTAGTTTTTTTAATATTTAATATTCAAAAAATCATAAAACAACAAAAAATAAATAAAAACAAACCAATAGCTTGTTTTCGACTCCATTTCCAATGTTTTTCAACAATAGTAAACTCTTTGATTTGAAAACCATTATCCAGTAAACTATGTCTATAATCATCGATTTGTTTCTCTATTGATGGATACCATGGTTTTGGACCCTTGTATTTGGGCAATAATTTTTTATTCAAATCCGGATACAGCATATTATTTGAATGAAACACACCACCGCCCGGTGCCAACAGTTTACTAATCAGTGACATTAGTTTGGTTTTGTCGGTAAAGTGCGGTACAACAAAATTGGCAAAAACCAGATCCACTGTCGTCTCCAATTGGCGTAACTGTGGCGACAACTGTGGCCACTCAACGGACATGTCCTGTAGCTGATAGTCGATTGTCGGACCTGTATTGTACTGTCGGGCATAGCTTAGCAGATCGGGTACCGTATCGATGGCCACTAGTTTACGATGTGGTACACGTGTTGATAGTAGTTTGGTTATACCGCCCTCAGCGCATCCTAAATCCACTATGACATCAAATTTTCTGTACCTCCCCACCGAAAAATAATAATTAATAACTAATTATAATTTAATAACTAATTATAATTTAATAACTAATTATAATTTAATAACTAATTATAATTTAATAACTAATTATAATATAATAACTAATTATAATTTATATATTGTATAGTTTTATATTTATATAAATATAAATATATATATATATATATATTAAAAAATAATAATAATATATACATACCTATTGAGTTTATTATTAATAATATTAAATGAATTTTCTAATACTTCGTTATAGTATTTATTATCAGTAAATGAATTATAGAGTTCCGGTTCAAGTTTAAACATTTTTAAAAAAAAGTTAAAATAAGTAATTATATTTTTTCTAACGAAAACTTATTATATTAACTATTGTATTTTTTGTTGTTGTTGATAACTTACTTATATATAATTTTAGTTTTAACTATTGATTTAAAAAAACATGCGTTTTACTGAAAAAATATTTCAACTTTTTTTGATTTGCAAATTCATTCAAAAAAAAACAGTTATTATTTTATTTTTTATATTTTAATAAAAATATTTATGTCAAACCTTTTAGATATTTATTATATTGAAAAAGTATTTATTGTAATTTTTTTTTAAAATATTTAATTATCATTTATACTTAATAAATATTTTTTTAATTTTATTTTTTTTATAATAAAAGACATTTTGATACTTCATTAAAAAAATTTTATTAAATATTATTATACTTTATATATATATATATTATTTCTATTAATTAACTAATAAAATATAATAATTAATTTAAATTACTTTATATTAATAATCTAAAAACAAACTTTATCCAATTAAAATTATTTATATATAGTATTTAGATTATTACTTTTAGATTATTATTTAGATTAAATATATTAGATATATACAATATATATATATATATACTATTTATATAGTTTAATCTTAGAGTATATATATAAAAAAAATAATCTAGCAAATTTTTAAAAACATAAAAAATCTAACTTAATATTTATTTTAATATTTAATAATTAAATAGTTAGAAAAAAAATATTGAAAGTTGTATCATATTTTCAAAATACAATTACTTTTTTTTGAGCTAAAGATGATAAGCATATTTTTTCTGATTTATAAATATTTTATTAGAAAAAAATTAATACATTATTTACTAATTACAGTATTTTTTAATATTTATATTTTTTTTAATAGATAAATGTTTAGTTGTTTTAATAATTTTTTTTTTAAAAATTAATACATTTAATAAGATATTGTATTTATAAACTATTGTTTTAAACTTAACTATTGTTTTTATTTTTATTAAATTTAAAATCATGTCAATTATAAAAACCTTATTTTATTTAAATAGCTTTTTTATATTAATTGTTGCTATTATTTCAAAAACAAAATGCATTGATAATATTGATCTGATTTACGGTAATAATAATAATAATCATTATATTATAAAACAATTGTTTGTCTCAATCAATGAATCAATTGTTAGCCATCAGTGCAAACAAGTTGCCGATTATTTGTTGAACAATCCCAACGATTTAGAGACAATTAAATGTAATTATTATTATTATTTATTAAATTATCAAAAACATTTACATACACTTAATATACAATACAAGTTTTTGATATATAAATAATATCTATATTTATACCAGTGTTTTATATTTTAAAAAATAAATCATTATTATAGGATATAATTATCATTATTTTTTAATTAACTTAAAATAATAACATCCTAACATTGTAACATTAGTACTTTATTAAATAAGTTTTTTAAAAAAAAGTTTTTAAGCAAACAATTTTCTATTAAAATTATGTTATATTTGGCTTAATTTTAACTTAATGATAATACAATGTTATTTTAGTTATTTAAAAAACATAAAAACATTTAAAAACAAAATATCTTAGTCAAATTTTAGAGGATAATATTTTTTTGCCATACACCCCCATCTACCCACACTTGTTAACCAGGTTCAACTTAACCTTTATTTATATATTAATGCAATATAATACAACAATAAACTTAATTTTTTTTAAATAAATAAATATATCTATTTTTCAAGTACTGGATAGCAATGCTGTTATCGGCTCCGGTATTATGAACGGAAACTATCATTTTATGGGTCAATACAGACAATGTTTATCACTAATGGTTGATATTAATGACAGTAATAAACTAAAAACTAATATCAAATTCAATGGCAAATATTGTACACTAAATATGCCGTTTGAATATTTAACTAAAAATCTTTTAACTAATGATTTAGTAAGTATTGATTGATTGATTGACTTTTTTAATATAATTATTTATTTATTTATTAGTAGCAATTAAATCAATTTAGCAAACTTTTTCAATATATTTTTTTGTTAACATTTGACTTTATATTTTAATACTTAAAAATAATTAAAATATTTTACTTAGATATATAAATATAAATTTTGATTTACAGTATCTGTATGTTATTAAATAATTATTTTTAAAATATAATTAATTATTTTATTTAGATATTAAAATATCAGAATTTTGGTATAACCTCAACATTAGGCATATGTTTACCAAATGTTTGCAATGACAACGATTTGATAGTTATATTAAAAACATGTAATTGTTTTTGTATTAAATTATAAATTCTCTTAAATTACATAATGAATTAAATAACTAATATAATTATTAAATAAAATAAATAGTTTAGTAATTATTGTTTATAATGCTATATATTTTTTTCAAAAAATATAGTGTCCAAAAAATCTGGACTAAATTTATCAATTGCTAACTGTACTAATGATGATGATGGAAAATTAAAATGGTATCATTTAATTATCATGTAATTAAAACTAATTTAATTAATTAATTAATTAATATTTATGATTTTAAATTATTTTAATACAATTACATTAACTTAAAAACTTTTTAAATTTATAAATTAAACTAATAACTTATATGTTAAATAATTTATAAAATTTATTTTAGATGCTGTTTTTGTACAATTTTGATCATAATAATAGCTGGTACGTTTATCGAAATAAAAACTACTAACAAACAAAAAGGTAAAAATAAAAAATAATAATAATAAGTAATTATAAACTGTATATACAGTATAATGATATTTATTAAATTATACAAACTTAGTTAAATTAAAAACTTTATTTTACAAAAATATAAAATAGTAAAAATAATTATTATTTTTAAAATATTTAATATCATGACACTATTAAATCAAAAACTTTAATAAAGTATTTTTTTTTTGAGATTTATATGTATATAAGTTGTATATAAAAGTATAGTTTAGTATTAAATTTTTAATTTCTACAAAACTTCAATCATGTGAAAATATATCCTATAAAAACATTTATTAAAAAAATAATTAATAAAAAAATATTATTAAGTTTAATTAATTAATTACTAATAATTTTTTTTAAAGATAATTGCATGTTATTTGATAAATTACTGGCATTTTCATTGTATTCAAACACTCGTCAATTGGTGACCATCGATGGTAACCAAAAAAATAATATCAATTGTATTCATGGGATACGATCTATGTTTTTTATATTACTTACATTATTTGCAATCTTTAACATTATTAGATCATATTGTAAGTAAATTGAATTAATTTTTAATTTATTAAAAATATTTATTATTATTAATAACATTAGTAATTAAACAAAAAAAACAGTTCTAGAAAAACATCTAATATTTTTTTAAATTTATCTATACATTACATAAGTATACATTAAATTAAATTAAAATATATAAAATTATAATATATTTTATTATATGTTAGTCTGATTTTCAAATAAATTTAAATTATAATATTATAAAATTATTAAAAATTAATATTATTAAACTAATCTTATTAAGTTCACATTAATTAAGATAAACTAAATAATAATAATAATAATGTTATTAATTAATTAATTAATTAAATAAAATTAATTAATTATTAAATTCATTATTATTATTATTTAGCAAATGTTATGGAAAATTTTGAAAAAATTGATAAAAATATGAACTGGCAACATTTACAAAAAATTCCCATAATGGTTAATACATTATTTTTAATTAGTGGATTTTTATGTACAAAAATTTTTCTGGACAAACAATTCATGAAAAAATCAACACTAAAATCATTTGTTAGCGATTTTATCGGACGTCTAGCTTATAGATACATACGCTATACACTGAATATGTTGGCATTTATTGGTTTGATAGTACTATACGAACAGATAGGTTCGGGTCATCTATGGTATGAGTATGTCCAGACAATTGCCAGACCATGTAGACAAATGTGGTGGCTTAATTTATTATATCAACAAAATGATGAATCAATTGGTAAATTATTTAACCATGATCATTCAATATATAATACGGTAAAAATTTAACATTATAAATTCTATAATGTTTATATAAATATATATTTTTTTTAAATTTTTAATGATAATATTAGCATAGATAGAAAATTTTTATTTCTTTATTTTTTTAAAATTTAAGTATTTGTTTGTTTATTGGTTAAAATAATGTTTTTTTTTTTAAAAATAACAAAAACGCACTATAAAATAATTGTTTTTGTTTCAATTGTAATAGATATAACTAAAATTTGTTTTTTTAATTTATAATTATATATTTAAGTTATACCAAGTTATATTAAGTTATATATATGTAGAAATTTAATTAAGAAATAATTAATTAATTATTTATAAGTATTTTAAAATTTTTAATATTTTATTTATTTATTTAAGTGTTTGAACGAAACTTGGTATCTGGCAGTCGATATGAAAATATATCTAATATCTCCGATTTTGATTATATTATTATCATATAACGATAAAAGGTATATTTGTAAAAATAAAATAATTTATTAAATACAATTTAATTTAAATATTCTAAAAAATTATTATTATTTATAATAGGTATTGAATTATATACTTAATATATACTAATTTAATCTAATTATTTTTTTCAAAGAAAATATATTGGTATTGCATTAAATATATTTATAATTATTATCAGTTGGTTTAATAATTATAAAATCATTTTAAACAATCTCTCAACGGCTACTATTGAATATGATATTAAGTATAAATTAATATTAATTAATTTAAATTATGAAAAAAATAAATATTTTAATCATTTATTATTATCTATTTTGTTATTGTTATTTTTAATATAATCTTTTAGTGACCAAATTGATGATATTAATATTTATTTGTCAACTTTAAATCGTTTGGGTCCCTATTGTATCGGTATATTAACAGCATATTTGTATAAAATATACGGAAATAGCATTATCATTAAACCGGTAATTTTAAATCAAAATTACATAATAATAACGATAATTATTATATTATTATTATAAATATTTATTATTATTATAAATATTTATTATTATTATAAACATTTATTATTATTATAAATATTTATTATTATTATAAATATTTATTATTATTATAAATATTTATTATTATTATAAATATTTATTATTATTATAAATATTTATTATTATTATAAATATTTATTATTATTATTTTTTTATCAAAATTATCAATTAATTTTTTTTGTCAATTATATTATAAGTTAATCAATAGATTTCTATGTATATCGATTCTGGCATTATATTTGGCATTAATTTATTTGCCACATATTTTGAAATTATATGACTATAGTTACGATAATAATAATAATAATAATATACTAGTACTACTATTTGTTGCAACAAACCATAGCATAGGGGCACTGATATGGGCCTATATTTTATATGCCTGTTCAACTGGAAACGGTGGTCCACTAAATTGTTGGCTATCGTGTCCGCCATTTTCAATATTAAGCAAACTATCGCTTCAATACAATCTAAGCCATAATATAATAACCTATATATTTATATATGGAAGCCATTATAATATCTATATGACTACAAACAGTTTAGTAAGTATACAAAAAAATATATTTTAATTTTAATTAATTAATTTTATTTTATTTATTTATTGAAATTATTTAATTTTAATTAAAAACATTAGATTTTGATATTTTTACAAATTTTTATTATCTCACTATTGGTAAGCTATTGTGTTTACATTATGATTGAAGCCCCGCTCTTACGTATTGAAAAATATATGAAAACTAATAAACAAAAAGTCAATTAATTATTACACATATTAATTATAAAGTTATAAAATATTTTTTTTAAATATGATAAATAATTAAAACTAATATAAATATTTAAATTTTTAATTATGATTATTACTATTATAAATATTATTTTCTAATTCTATTGTATTACTTGAAAATTTTAATAAATAATTTTAAATAAAAATTAAATTAATATTATTAATAACTAAAATATTATTTTTTTTAATTTGTAATGTTTGGCGAGATATTATAGTTATTATTTAAAAAATAAATTTTTAAATATTAATTTTAGTAAATTAGTAACAGTTTGATAGATATGAAACATTAAATAATAACACTATACGTATAGTTTGTTTTTAATAAAAAAATTTAGTCAACTCATGAATTAATGTAATAAAAAATGTTTTAATATAAAAATAAAGTTTTAAACAACATTTTTTTGCATTAATAAATTAATTAAATAAATAAATATGTGATGTGTAATATGACATCTATTAAATAAAATTTTAAAAGAAAAATTATTTAAAATTATTTAAAAATATTTGTTAAATGTTTTTTTTGTTAATAAAGTTAATCAATTAAGTTAATCATCTTGTACATTATTATAGTAAATACAATTAGTAAATACTATATATTAATTAAATATATATCAAAAATATTTTTTTGAAAAGTAATTTTAAATAAACTACTTATTGATTATTTATTTTTTAAAAAATTATAATTATATAAAATTTTAATATAATGTTTAACCGTCACATCTATTATATAGAATTGTTTTTTTAAAAATAAATTTTGGTTTTATTTTTGTTGCTATGATATTATAGATATATTTGTTTTGTAAAATTATTTTATTTAAATATTTGTTATTTAAATGAAGACATTAATATATAGAAAAAAATAATAACTTAGAAAACTTTATAATTATAATAAAATATATATATTAAATAATTTATGTTAAGTCTATAACAAAAAACTAAAAATATTTTAACATCTATATACTAATAAGTTAATATTAGAATTATATTATTTTTATTATTGTAATTTAATCAAACATTTTAATAAAAAGTAAATTTTTATTTTAAAAAATGTATTTTAATATAATCATAATCATAATTAAAATTTAAAAATTTTATTAGTTTTCCAATTTTTTGGCCACAACTTGCAAATAGGTTGTATAGACCTTAAGCTCCTGTATGTTATCGTTGGCCAAAAATTGTTGCCAAGCATTAGGAACGGGTGGTTCGTTTGCTGGACTGGTATAGGCATTGAAAACAATGTCCAACATATTAGTGCGAAACTCTTTATCAAATTGATCCATTGGTTTTGGATAAAATAACTTATAATCGTTGAACAAAACTGGCATCATTTCTATAATAGCAATGTTATTTAATTAAAAATTTTAATTAAATTTATATATATATATTTAAATTATAAGATATAATAAAAAAAACTATTTTAAAAAACTTTTTAAAAAACTATTTAGAAAGTTATTTTAAAAAACTATATAAAAACTATATAAAAAAACTATTTAGAAAGCTATTTTTAAAAAACTTTTTAAAAAAACTATTTAAAAAACTATTTCTAAAAAACTATTTAGAAAATTATTAAGAAAACTATTTAGGAAATTATTTAAAAACTATTTAAAAAAAAACTATTTATAAAACTATTTAATATTCTATATGTTTATAAAAAATAGTTATAACTTATTATTAATTTATAAAAATTTTTGTTTATTAATTAATTAATACAAAACCTATAACATCCTTGCGATTTGTTTCCCAAACTTTATCGATACGATTGAACTTTTCGACCACAAATCCATTGACAGCTAATGCCTGTTCATAATCTTTCATCTGATTTTCAACTGTCGGATACCAGTTATCATCAATTGAATTGTTGTCGTTGTCTTTTGGCAACAATTTCTTATTCAGATCCGGTATACAACATAGATTACCATAGAATATACCTCCCGGTGCCAACAATTTCCATATTAAGTTCATCACCTGTTGTTTATCTTTCATATAATGTAAGGTAAAACTTGAAAAAACCAAATCAACCGTTTCCTTCAATTTAGTAATACTCGACGGCAACTGTTCCCAATCGACCGACATATCGGCCAATTTATAATCAATTGACTGGTCGTTGTTATGTTTTTCGGCAAAACTGATCAAATCGGGTACAACATCGATGGCCACAATTTGTTTGTGCGGCACATGTTTGGCCAACAATTTTGTTAGACCGCCCTCAGCGCAGCCAATATCGATAATTAGGTCGAATTTTCTTTTAATTGAAAAAAAATAATTAATATTTTTAACATTTTTTATATTTATTTATTTAATTAATCAATTGTACCTGTTCAAATTTTTTAGTATATCTATTGATTCAAAAATTACATCCCTATAATCTTTATCAATTAGTGTAGTACTGTATAGTTCAGCTGAAATTTCATTCATTATTATTATTTTTTTAAATATTTTAATTTAACTTTTTATTCATTTAATAAATTGTATTTTACAAAAAAATTATTATTATTACTGTTATTAAAACAGTTTTACTAATAAAACACTAAATATAATGTATGATTTTTTTTAAAAAATAAAATCTAAAATAAGTTTATCAATACTTACTTTATGTGGAAATTTTTTTGTTAGACATCTATACTTATATAAAAAAAAATTACTTAGAGTTGCCAAATGCTATCAAATTTACATATGAGTTTAAAATATAGTAATAAATGTTTTACTTTTACTTTTTATTTTTATAAATATTAATTATAATAAGATATAACTCAAAACTTATAATTAGTTTTAATATAAAAATAATATCGATATAAAAAATAATTTAAATGAATAATTTGTTTTATTTAATAAATACAAATAATGATATAAATTATACTAAAAACAAAGTTATATTGTATTAAAAATTATTAAAAAAAATAGTATATAAATTTAATATTTTATAATCAAGGTTTAAGGAATGGGAGATAGGAGGGCTATGGAGAAAATAATTACACCCCCCTCATTGAAAAAAAATTATAATTATAACTTAGATTTATTACGTTTTTTTTGTAGTGTTTTTAATATATATTAAAATTGAATTATTTACTAAAACTCACTAAAAAAATAGTTTAATTTACATCAAAATTAAGGTAAAATTATTTAATTAATAACCTAAAAATTTTTATACAATAGAATACTATTTTAAGATAATTTTTAAATTATGATAATTGGTATATAACTTTGATTTTGGCAATCCTACTTCTAAATTATTATTTAAAAAAAAAATTGTCAATTAATGTTCATGGTCAATTTTTCCTTAATTATTCTAAGTTCTAAGATATTTGACATAAATATTTTTATTAAAAACAATTAGAATAAAATGTTTTTTTCCATGAATTTGCAAAAATTGTTTAAATAATTTTCGTTTATTAAATACACACTTTTTTTTTATTTTTTTATAACTAAATAATATATAAGTAAGTTATAAAATAAAAATCTAAAAAAAATTATAATAAATAACATAAACAATTTTTGGCGGACAAGTAAACGCTTGTATAACATATATAATATATATTATATATATATATACAGATTGTGGCCATAAAAGACAAAATAATTATTTTATTAACAATTTTTTTTCATAATAACAAAACTCAAACAATAATTTTATTGGTTTTGACCTCTAAATTGCTATAATATATAAGTTAATAAAGTATTTTAATTTTTTAAAAATAAAATAACATTACCGTAACTTTATTTTTTTTTGTACAACTAACATTAACAATAACATTTACAAATTAATAATTAAAAATAAATATATATAAATTTATTATTTAAATAATATTTACTCATAAAATTGTATGATTTTTTTTTGTTTATTATTATTAAAAAAAATAATAAGTCATATTTAATTATTAAAATAATTATTTATATATGTAATAATAACAATAATATTAAAAATATTATTGTGGGTCAAATATTATTATGATTATAATTATTATTATACATTCATATCCATCTCACTATTGACTAGAGTATTAATTGGGGGTGGGGGTAGATAACAAGGGGTGGGGTAGTTGGATAGTTGGGATAAAATTTTTAAAAAATAAATCTCATTGTAAAAAAAATAATATGTTTTTTTGTTGTTGTGCTATTGTGTCCATTGATTGATTGTTTGTTTGTTTGTTTTATCTTAAAAACTGTGATAACTATTAGTAGTATTATGCTGTGAATGATTGTGATGACGATTACGGCTAGGACTGGGACGACGACAACAATCAAAACAGTTAAGTGTGTCGGCAATAGTCGTATGCCTGTCCTCAGTGTAGGCCCGACTCGACGGCTCGTCAGTGCATTCGGCTATAAATTTCTGGTTCAAACAAATCAAATAGAGATGTATTTAAATTAAATTTTTTAATTACAAAAAAATATAGTTTTCAACAAATAAATAGCTAAATCAGTCCTTTAGGTTAATACAGTATATTAAGGCACCTGTAGATCGTTGAGTGGCATTCCGTTTTCATAGTAGTCCTTAATTGTTTCATACGAATCCATAATCAATGCAATAAACAGACTGAGTACTACATAAATGAATAGCGATACAAACATATAGAGATATATACGACTGAACCACCAGATTAGTAGGTCGCCTCTGGGCTCAGTTATGTAGAATGTGGCGAACATGTCGTCGCCGTTCATCAACGAAAACAGACACTCAGAGGCCCGGCTAAGTGTACGAAATTTCAGATGGTATGGACCCAATACTAGCCAACCGCACAGTGTAAAGCCTCTGTTGAAAAAAACCAAACCAAACAAACAAAAAGTTAACTAAATCTACCGGTGCTTTCAAGTAAACAAAAATTTAATTAACAAACCCGTAGAGTATGAACGCACAGGACATGAATCGCAATACATTGGGAACCGCTCGGCGCAGTGTCAGTATCAGTATATTGTATTTGTGACTAAATCCGAGATACCGGAGCAAACCGGTCCACACGCACAGATTGCCGACGCCCAACAACAGCGAAACAGTATTGTAGCGGACAGTGCCGGCCGCAGTGGCCACACGAGATTCCAGTCTCATCTTCAGCGCTGATCCGCTAATGATTAGTATGTCGTTGACGATAATCAATACAATCCATAGGTCGACAAAGTCTAGCAGTTCCCTGAGTGTCAACGTCCGGCTCAGATAGCGGTTGAAAAAACGGCGGGTTTGCCAACACAATACTTGACCAGTATATAGTGATCGCAGGCATAGTACGGCCGATACGGAACTGAATACAATTACCGACCAATTCAGTACTTGCCGAACGACTAGCCAATCGCCGTCCGACCGATTATTGTCGGCCAGATTACCGTTGCACAGATGTCGCTGACGACTGGTGGTCAATTCGACCAACATTTGGCCATCGTTTTGGCGATTGTCGTAAACAATCGATACGTTCAGGTCGTAGCATTTCGGCCGATTATAGTCGGCCATCGAATTGATATAAATCGTACGCAACGGAAACAGCAGTTCCAGTGTCAGCAACCGATTAAATAGTACGGTACGATTGTGGTCATCGAAATACTTTAGCGAACTAAACTCGGTTGACCAGCGCTGATCGTTTGGCGGAAACAGTTCGCCAATCGCTAGTTCATCGGTAAACACTTGATTGTCGTATTCGTAGTAGTAGTCGCTCGGTCGGGCTTCGCCTTTGTTGTAGTGCTGGCGCCGGACTAGAATGTCGGACATATTACGGCCGGTTCGATCGGTTGAGTTGATGGCGTAGCCAAACGAGCCGACACTGGCTGAGGTAATGTTGGCGTATTGCGCGATAGCGTAGTCTATTGAGGCGTAAAAATCTTGACGCGTATAGACAGCGAAAGGACCGGCCGCTGGCGGATAGGCCATCACTTCACGTACGGGATCCCAATTGGATAGGAATAGTTCACGAAATGCAATAACCGAATTGGACTCTTGGGCCAAATGGGCGGACATGTCGTAGCCGTAGACAAACAACTGGATGGTGACCAAAATGATTTTCAACACTTGGACGACCAGTTTGCACGGCTGGCGTCGTTTGGCTCGCCATTTGTCGGCCGGTGACATAAAATAGTATTTCAGTCGACGCCTGAAACGGTCTTTCATGTGCGGTGTGGCCTCAGTTGGTGTCGTCGGCGGCGGCGACGATGATCGCCGATCAGATCGGTGTTGATCATCAGCGTCAACGTCGGCCGTGGCGTTGAGTATCGGGTTTTCTTGATTAGTATTATCATCACTTGTCGGTAGCCGTCGATCGTTGGCGTCTAACGGCTGGTGGCGACGGCGGTGGTGATGGTGGCCATCATTGTCCGTGTCCTCTACGGTAATCAAGTTGTTGTTGTTGATCGACATTATGTTTTCGGACATTGTTTTCTGTTCGGACGTCACCGTCGGGTGTGTTGTCCGTCCTCACAGTAGTCGGTAGTAGTGGTCACTGAAATTGGTCGCACAATTGACACACAAACAGCTGTTTTGCCAATTGTTTAATACATTAATAATAATAATAACAATAATAATGATAACAAATAAACATTTAATTAATTATTAATTATATTATAGTATTAATTAATTTATTAACAAAAAAAAAAATTAAATGATTTTTTTTATATCATAATTAAAAACATTTTTCAAATAATAAAATTGTTTGATAACTAACTTTTAAAAAAAATAATGAGAAAAAAACCAAAAAAAAATTATTATTATTATTATTTTGATTACAGTTTTACGATAATAAATGATAAAAACAAATAAAAATTGTTAAAAATTAAAAATAAATTAATTGATTGATTGATTGATAATTATATGGAAAATAATAATAATATTAAAATAATAAAATCATAAATATTTATATTAATGATATAATGATATCAATAGAATCATCATATGATAGATATATTAATGTTAATAAATAATGTCAATAACAATACAAATAAAAAACGTCAACTAATTTTTCATATATATCTAAACTGTATATATGTTATAATTTTTTTAGTACTTTTATATAAGACAATACAATTTAATAGAAATATATATATATATTGTATTAAATAGTACTTAAACTTCATCAGGAAATTATTTGTTAGATAACTTGTTTTTTATTGCGACAATTGTTTGTTTATATTCATACTTCAAGCGCGCAATCAATCAATTGATTGATTGATTCATACAATTAGTATTAAATAGTGTTTTCAATTCAATGACAATATGTTTTTGATTTTATTGTTTTAATAGTTAATAATAATAATCGGATAAACATTTTCGGCCACCGCTGCCGCCGCCGATGACCACGATATGTCCAATACTAGATCGCTAACTAGTGGTGACCACAATCATCGCCGACCGGTGGCGATGATGACGCCCGACATCGACCATCTGATTGACTGCGAAATGTCCGAACAGTTGGCCTCGAAGTCCGATGCATTGCGATCGGCATTGTTTGCCGTTACGGCAGCCGCTGGTCAACATCGACCGCTTGGTACAGGTAATAGTGGTGGTGGTGGCCACAGCCGCCAAAATGCTGACCAATTTCAACAGTTTCGCTGTCAGCTGATGAACGAGTTGAACACCGAAATGGACAGAGAGGACGGCAAGAATTCGTTTGTCGGTAGTCGGTCCGAAACTGTCGGCGGCAGTCAACAACACAGTGGCGGCGACCGTTTTCAGTCGCGTTTGGCTAAACTACCCGAACGCCAATTGTTGGCCAAACTGGGTATTCGACCGAAAACTACCGAACAAATGGACTACGACGACTGTCAAGTGGTCAGTATTGTATTGAATAATAATACTGTTTCGGCAGAGCAGTCGCCGCCGCCAATAGTGGACAACAGTTGTGATATAAACTCATCTATGAAGTCGTCGACGTCGTGTTCATCATCGTCGGTGGTCACCAACAAGTGTAACACCACTGGAGGAACAACTAAACTAACAACAAAAACAAGTATCTTAGATAAAGTCGGATCATTTCGTGGACCTTCGATGACCACCAATACAGTAAAACCGATCACCAGCTCTGCTGGATCGCCGACACGAGTCTCAGGTATATTTCGATCGTCGGGATCGCCAAAAACCAAACAAAAGATTATCCGATCGCTGGATGTGGTGGTGTCGACCACCAATGCTAGTCAGCCATCGAAACCCTCACAACAACAACAACCGTCGACGGCATTCATGACTGGACTCGAGAAGAAATATGTAGAAGACGTTAAAAAAGGTTCAGTCGATATGTCAAAAGCTGCCAAAAGTCTGCGCGAGGTTAAGAATACATTCAAACCGCCGATGAAATACAACGACAACAACAACAGTAAAGACAAGCGTAAGACGACTCAATCAACAAATGATGATTCAATTGATCCACACTTGCGTAACATTGATCCGCAACTGATTGAAGTGATCGAGAATGAGATCATAACAAAATTGGAACCAATTGGCTGGTCGGATGTGGCCGGTCTTGAATTTGCCAAAAACAAGATCAAAGAGATAGCAGTATTGCCACTGCAACGGCCCGACCTGTTCAGTGGTTTGCGTAAACCGCCAAAAGGTATAACCCGTAGATAAATCCATAATAATAGTCACTGATATATATATATATAAATGATTTGTTTTTCTATGAACACCACCACCAATAGGTATACTACTGTTTGGTCCGCCGGGCACTGGCAAGACATTTCTGGGCCGTTGTATAGCATCGCAGACAAAGTCGACATTTTTTTCGATAACCGTATCCTCGTTGAACAGCAAATGGATAGGTGAGGGCGAAAAAACCATACGAGCCATGTTTGCCGTTGCCCGAGCCCGGCAGCCGTCGGTAATATTTATCGACGAAATTGATTCGCTATTGAAAACACGTAGCGATACCGAACACGAATCGTCGCGGCGAATGAAAACCGAATTCCTCGCCCAATACGAAGGTGTCGGTACCGACAGCGACAAAGACAAGATACTGATCATCGGTGCAACCAATCGACCGCAAGAGTTGGACGACGCTGCCCGACGGCGACTGAATGCCCGATTGTATATCAGATTACCCGACTCGTCAGCTCGGCAGCAGATTGTTGCCAATTGTTTGCGTAGCGAAAAACATTCGGTTACCGACCAGGAAATCGAAATGTTGGCCAATATGACCGATGGTTATTCGTGTGCCGATATGCGTGATTTGTGTCGCGAATCAGCTATGGAACCGATACGCGATTCGACAATTATGGACGATATATGCAATATTAGTGCTCAAGAGATACGGGATATTAGTTACAATGACTTTCTCAAGTCGATGGACTTTGTTAGGCCAACCGTTCGCAAAGAGGATTTAGTTATCTATGAAAAGTGGAACCAAGAGTTTGGTACACATTGTCGTCAGTAGTGATTGGATTGATTGATTATTATTACCATTTTTTAGTGGTGATTAAAAATTATTAATTTTTTAATTATTATTATTTAGTAGTTTTAATTATATTGTTTAATTAACTTTAAAACTATATCAATCATCCTATTTACTCTCACATACATTGTAAACATATTGTACAGTATAATTAAAATTATTGTATTTAATTGAATTAATTAATTAATTAATAATTTTTTATAAAAGAAAAATTTTAAAATTATTTTTATTTTCTTTACTTATAATTTTTGTTATAAATTTATTATTATTATTATTATTACAAATATTGCGCCCAAAATATCACTACTACTACCGTAAAATCTTAATTATAAGTCGATCTGGTGTATAGGTCGCAGGTCATTTATTGATAAAAATTTTAATAATTTTGTTGTATAAGTCGCACCTCATGTATAAGTCGCACAACTTTTTAATAAACTGTAACTCATGTCATATGTAGTCAATTGTTTGTATGCATCAAAAGTGTATTGAATTGTAGCAATTGTTTGATATCATTAAACAAAATGGTAAGACATTCTTACACAACAGCGAAGAAGTTGGAAGTGATTGCTTTTGGAAGACGGAAATAGAGGGGCTGAAAGACATTTCGGTATAAATGAGAAATTAGTCAGAGATTGGCGTAAAATTAAATCAATACTTATGGCAATGAATCCAAACAAAAAAACCGGAGAGGAAAACAGTGTTTTTGGCCCGAAATCGAGAGAGAAATTAAGACCTGGGTCTTAGACCAAAGAAAACAAGGATTTCGTGTAACATTAGTCAACATTAAGTTAAAAGCCAAAGAGATTGCTATCAATAAGTCGATTACGGGTTTCAAAGCCAGTGACTGTTGGTGTAACAGTTTTATGCGGAGAAACAAGTTATCGGTCAGAGCTGTGTCCAGTATTGGTCAGAAATTACCACAAAATTGGGAGCTAAAAATGGCTGAGTTTATGGCTTATATGAATAACAATAGAGATGGTGTTCAATACCAACACATCGGTAATATGGATGAAGTACCGGTTAGTTTCGATATTATTGGAAATTTCACAGTTGATTCAGTTGGTGCAAAAGAAGTTAAAATAAAATCTACCGGAAACGAGAAGTTTTTTCACGGTTGTGTTGCGTGTCACTGCTGATGGCGGAAAATGTGATCCTATGGTCATATTTAAACGTAAAACGATACCCAAAGAAGATTTTCCTAAAAGAATAATAGTGAAAGCAAACCCTAGCGGTTGGATGACTGAAGAAGTATTCATTGAGTGGTTGTCATTAGTTTGGAAACGAAGAAAAAACTCATTTTTCAATAAAAAATCGATTGTTATTTATGACTCAATGACAGCTCATATTACCGAAAAATCAAAATCGGAGGCTAATATGTTGTCGACTTTGGCGGTAATACCGAAAGGATTAACTAAAAAGTTACAGGCTTAACTATCAACCGGTAATTCAAATCAAAATTGAGAAAAGAGTGGAAGAAGTGGATGATTGAAGGCTATCATACATTCACTAAAAGTGGTTCAATGAGAAGAGCTTCTTATTGTGAGATCTGTCGTTGGATTAAGAAGAGTTGGGACGAAGTGTCTGTTGATTGTATCAAAAATGGCTTCAAAAAGGCCGGTATTTGTGATTACAATCAAGACGTTACTCATGAGGTGACAGACATCGAATCTGATGACAATACTAATGAAAGAGTTTCAAATGAATTGGATTTTTTGAATGCATTCAATACTGACTCTGATTCTGATTTTGAAGGATTTTAGTGATAAAAATTTTATTAAATAAATAGAAATTAATTTTTAATATTTTGAATTTTTTTTATATATAAGTCGCAGGTCTATATTTTTAACCTAGATCACTTTTTTTGTTGTATAAGTCGCGACTAATACAATAGATTTTACGGTACTACTGTACATCAAATATAATATTACAATAAGCGCACAATCATACCAACACTTTCATACCAACAATTGTATAGTTTATTATACGATTGATGACATCATGTAATTTCTAACACATAGACAGTAATACTATTTTTTCAATGTTTTGTTTTCAAAGTGTTGGTTTCATTGTGCGCTTAATGTTACTTAATACAGTATTAATAGACAACTGTTTTCAATTGACATACTGTACTCTTACTTAACTATTAACACTGTATTTTAAGTACTGCAGTGTTTAGTAAATATCTGTACAACTATTTCAATGTATTTCAATGTAAACATAAACAACAAAACAATTGATTAGATATTAAATAATTATTAATATTTTTACGGCAAACGCGTTGTCCGCCTATAAATGTATGGCCACACCAACAGCTGTGGTCGTTGTCCTCTTAACAGCCGTTGTACTATATAGTGTTGGCCAACATCTCTCGTTAGTGATATGAGCGACCAATTTGTGCGGCCAGATAGCGCTGGCGGCGGCAGCGGCGGTGGACGCCGTAGTGAACGGCTATATCGGCTCAAACAACAGCTGATGGTCACCAACGATGAGACGACGGCGGCGGCCGTGATAGCAGACAGTAGTATTACCGCTAATGGCCAGACTAGTAGTGGTTGCCGACGACAACGACAACAACAACCGGGACAACAGCGCCGCCGATCTAAATATGTGGTCAAATGTGAGAAGTGTTTGGCGAAAATTGGCCGCCAATTGAAAACCAAACGCTGGTACGACTTGTCGGCTGAAAAGTGGTTACGCGTTTGTGGCGATTGTGCTAAACATTTGTCGGCGACGGCTGCAGCCGTGGATAAGTACTCATCGGCTGGTAAAGTGGTCAATAGTCCGGCCGTCGTCGATGAGATTAAACGCAAATATCTGGACAGTTGTAGCGCTTTTGGCCGATCATTGTCGAAACTGTTGGCCAATTCGGCAGCCGAACGTCTATATTGTCCAACATTGCGGCCACACTCGGGCACTGCGTGTGCGTGTGTCCAGCAGTTCATTATTGGCGACCAGACTAGCAGCGACCAGAGTTTGGCGGCCAAACAACTGCGGGCCCAACAGCTGCTCGATTTGCAAACAAAAGGCAAACGATTGAGTCAACAAAAATGTTATCCAATTTCGGTGAACGATATCGGCGGCGATGGTTACCAGAAAACTGTCGGCTTAGGCAATGGACACAAAAAGAGTGCCGAATTTGAGGCGTTTGTCAAAACTCAGCGACAATACCTGAGAGCGGAACTCCGTTTTTGCGAGAGAGCCGCCCAGCGAGTGATCGGCTATTCAAACAATTTTTTGCACAAAAAACTAAAGACCGAACCGATCGACGGAAGCGATGGTGTTGGTGGTGGTGGTGGCCGTCAACGTGTAGTCAGACAACGGGGCAAAGCGGCCACTGGAAAACTGCGCGAGTTGTCCGATGTGGCCGCAGATGTTTGTTGCCCGAATCGTTGCCAGCAGTTGTGCAAAACCCATCCGGAATTGGTCAACGGTTGGCGACAGCGTGCCATCGGTGGCGGTCAACTGGAAACCAGGCGTGTGTTGGCCGAAATGTTGACGCCAGCGCAGGGCGAACGTGTCAATTGTCGTAAGTTTATCGCATCGGTTACGGGAAGCAGTAGTCGTACCATCGATCGGGTCGATAGCTATATGCGTTCAAACGGTGGACGCCGTGAACCACAGGAACACGGATTGAAACGCTATTGGATCCGATCGACAACTGGTGATACTGTTGCTGTTGATAGTAGTAGTAGTGGTGGTCGACAAACAACGACGACTACTGATGCAGCTGTTGTTGATCTCGATTACGGTGATGAAGAAGCCATTGTTCATCAATTGGCGCCCAATTTATTGCTTACCACTACCACCGCTGCCGCCGCAGCTGACGATATATGTGCAACATTTGTTGACGGCATTGTGGCCAACATTTCATCCATCACTGATGATGACAACGACCGCAACGGTCTGGACAGCAATGGTCAGCAGCAGCTGCAACAACAACAACAGCAGCAGCGCATTCATCTATTGGTCAATCAAATGAATAACGAGATATCGGTAATCAATACCAGTGGCCGACATCAGATGATTGCTATAGTCGGGCCACCATTTGTCGACATTGACTACGGTTGCGGCGGCGACGGTGGTAGTGGTGGCGGCGGTACTCAACAATTGTTTGAAACAATGATAACTTGAGTGTTGAGTTAAGCGAAAGTTACGGTAGCTTTTTTTTATTAGTGGACAGTTAGCAACAAAAAAAAATAAAAATAAAACTTTTTAAAAATAATTTAAGATATTTTTAGGTATTTATAAAAAAAACAAATTTTGTTTCTTACTGTATATATATAAGCAAAAATTTATTAGAGCTTTACTTAATTTATTAATTATTATTGTGTTATTGCATTACTTAGTAATTTTATTTACTGTATATAAATAGTATAATTTATATATATATATAATTAAATTAAATTTTATTTACACTGAAAACAAATAATTTTTTCTTATTATTTATATATAAATTTATTTTTAGATTATTATCTTTATTTAACTATACAATTATTATACAAAAATGATCAAAAAAAATTATTTACAAACCAAATTTATAAACTATAATATATAGCTATAGTATAATAATTGTATTTATGAAAAAAATTTACGAATTATGACAAATTAAAATTAAATTTAATTAAAAAAAATAATTGTCTAGGTTAACAAATAAAAATAAATAAATCATTAAACTTAATCAAACTTTTCAAAATATATTTTTCTCTACAATATTGATAACAATTGTTATCAGTTTTTTAATTTGAAAAAATATTAATACATTAATAATAACAACAAAAATTAGTAAAAAAATAAACATTTGTTTAATTAGTTGATTAAAGGAAAAAATATGTAATTATTATCATTTATATGTTATATAAATGTTTTTTTTCAATTAATATAAGTTTATTTAGTTTATTATTATTATTATCATCAGTAATTCATTAGTGTATTATACGATAAGTCTAATAATTAATTTTTTTTTTTAAAAATTATTAATATAAAGTTTATGTCATAAAACACTTGAGTTATTAGATTAAAAAACAAAAATAAATATTGTATTTGTAATTAACAGTAAATATAGAATCATATGACAAAATAGTAGGCACTAGTTTTTATAGCTAAAAATTTATTAAGAAATTTATGAATTTTTGGATAGGGATGTGGTGGTGGGGTGGGAATGGGGGTGGAAGCCATATCTCCAATAAACTACCTAACATAAATCTACACATACACACACACACACACCATTATTATGTATATAATAAACAAAAAATAAAACTACAATATATCAAATGTATCTTGGTATATATTTTCATTTAATTACTATAATTTTATATATTATACCTAAATAGAACATTTTTCAAAATTCATGTTTATAATAAATTGCTAAATCAATTATTATTATTTTTTGAAGATATTATATATATATTTATATATATATTAACAGTTAATATATATATATATAAATTATTTAAATTTAAATATATATATATAACAGTTTGTAATAGGAAAATTTATTTATATTAATATCTCAATTAGTAAATAAATAAACTAGGCAATTTATTATAATTATAAATAATGTTTATATCTAGTTTATAATTGTTTAATAATTGAAATTAATTAAAATCAAAATACTACCAAGATACATTTTGAGATATAGTAGTTTGATTATAATTTTTTAATTTTTATGAACAAAATAGTGTGATTAGATTTATTTTGATGTTATTGAGATATGGCACCTCCCTGTCCCTACATACCTAAGCTTTTATTACAACAACAACAACAAAAAAATATTTTATAACATAAATTTTTTTTTCAAAAAAAAATAATTGTATAAATCTTTATTTTTTATTAAGCTATTAATAGACATTTAGCTATAAAACGTGTTGAAAAATTGCATTGAAACAGTACTAAAACAATTATAATTATAATTTTTATAAAACTAAAAATTCAATTACAATTGAAATAACTATATTAGTAATTTTCTTATATAAAAATATATTTTTTTTTAAATAAAATTATTATTTAAATGTCTAGTAATGTTTACATGCAGTTTTCATATTTATAAAAAAAAATTAATAAATTTATTTTATAAATGAAGCAATTTTATTAGTAAATTTAAATTACAATAACAATTTTTTTTAGTTTGAAGTTTTTATATTTATATAATAAAATTATCTGTAATTGTTTTTATAAAAGTAGATTATGTATTAGTAATATTTTAAATATATATATTTTAATATTTACTTTTAAAAAAATCCACTAAAATGACTAGGTAGAGTTTACTGTACATGCAGTCATTAAGCTATATAATTAAGTAAAATTTTAGTTAAAATTTTTTATTTATATAAATCAAGTAACTGTATTAGTAATATTGAATTACATAAACAATTTATTAGTTTTATAAAAATTTCCATTAAAATAGCAAGTTGAGTTTACATACATTTTTCAAGTTTACAGTAAATATAGACTTTTAGCTATAAAACGAGTGCCAACTATTTTAGTCTAAAATTTATATATATATATATAAGAAAATTATTTTCAACCCTTTAACTTGTTTATAGATAATGCAATTAAGACTATTTAGAAACAGCTAAATAGGTTTTTTAATAAATAAATAAATATTATTTATTTTTTTGTTGATGAAATTATTAAATAAATTAACAAGTGTTTTAATATATATAAAACAATAATTTAAATAAATTTGTTTATAAATAATAATATAATTAAAAAAATATACTGTATATACAGTTTTTATTAATTAACAAATTACTAAACAAGTTACAAATAAAATAATTAATATAATAAATTTAAAAAAAATAATTTTAATTTTTTAGATAACAACATAAAACATGTTTAGACAACAATTATTGTTTCAATTGTTTTCCAGTTTAACAATTATTTTATGTCTATTACTAATATGCTGTCAATCAAAACAATTGCCAAACATTGTCCTAATACTGGCCGACGATTACGGTTGGGCTGATGTTGGCTATCATTCCGATCACATGCGGACACCCAATATCGACACACTGGCCGCCGACGGTATTGTTTTGAACCGGTATTATACACTACCGTTGTGTACGCCCAGTAGTGATAATTACGATGAGATATAAAATATTTATAAATTTATAATTATAATTTGTTATTATAAATGATATCATATAAATATTTTTTTAAAAAAACAAAAATATCCATTTTTTAATATACTAATATATGTGTTAAAATATATTTATAAATATTTATAAAGTAAATTATTTGTAACTATTTATAACAAAACATTTAGACTCTCTAGAGTTTAGTAGATATTTTTTAATTATATAAAACTAATAATTGTTTTTCAAATTTTTTATTAATTAAAATTTTTAGGCAAATGGCATTTGGGTTTCTATAAGCATGAATACACACCGACCTACCGGGGCTTTGACACACACCTGGGCTACTGGAATGCAGCCGAAGACTACTATTCGCATCAGTCGTGCGAACAGTTTTGGGTGAATAAGAGCGGTCAGGTTATCACCAATAAGGGTGTTTGCGGTCTAGACATACACCGTAACCTAGATATGGTCTACGATGCTGTCGGTAACTATTCAACCATTTACTATAAGCACCGGTGTCTGGATGTTATCGATAAACACGATCCCTCAACGGGACCCATGTTTCTCTATATGGCCCATCAAGCTGTACATGCGGTAGACCTGTCGGATGTTATTGAAGCGCCCGAAAAGTATATCGATATGATTGGCAATATTAGGAATAAAAGGCGCCGTACGTTGGCTGCCATGGCCTACATTATGGACGAATCGGTCGGTGCTATTGTCGATAGGTTGCACTCAAAGGGAATGTTAGACAACACGATAGTTATCTTTTTGAGCGATAATGGTGGCCGACCTCAGGGAATGACACATAGTAATGATGATAATAATACAAATATAGTTAATTGGGGGGGGGGTGGGGTGGGGAAAAAACATTTACTAAAATTTACTGTTATTTTTGTCTAATTGTTTTCAATTAATTTTTTAGATAATATGGCATTCAATACACCATTAAGAGGTGGAAAACAGCATCTATGGGAAGGAGGTATGAATTTTTAAATTTTTTAAAATATTGATTTATAAAATGTATGTTTTTTTGTTTGTTTTTTGTCTGATATTTTAGGTATACGAGTGCCGGCATTCATATGGAGTCCCTTATTGAACACCAGTGGCTATGTATCCGATGAGCTGATCCATGTGACCGATATATTGCCGACAGTGTTGGAGGCTATCGGTGCCAAAATTGAAGGACAAAACAATATATACGGTTTATTATACCAAACCAATAGTTTATTTACAATTATAATAGTTATATAATAATAGTAATTACAATAATTATCAGGTGTTTCTCAATGGAAAACATTGACAAACAGGGAGACATCCCGGCGCCAGGAGATCATACATAACATTGATCCATGGCTTAATCAATCGGCTATTATGTGGAATAATTGGAAACTCATACAGGGACAGGAACCCGACGGCAATGGCTGGTATGTACCGCCTACCAGTGCTCGGGACAGGGCTGGCAACTTGAAGATCACCGATCGACTGAATAGTAACGCCTATAAAGTGCTGCGACAAATGCATAGACAACCCAACTATGATATGCTGAACGAGTCGACCATTAGATGCGGACCAAAACCGGCCAACGCGTCGACCAATTGCCGGCCGACCAGAGAGCTGTGTTTGTATAACATACGGGACGACCCGTGCGAGTATCATAACCGGGTTCAGGACTATCCAGAATTGGTCGCACAGTTGTGGAATCGGTTGCTGAAAATCAATGAAACAGCTGTCCAGCCGTTATCGCGGACGCCCAGTGTTGTCAATAGTCAACCGAAATATCATAACAATACGTGGACTGTTTGGGGCGATAATTTGAAATAATTTGAAATAAATAAATAAATTATAGATTATATAAATAGATTTCAGGATCACATATTACAAGTAATTTCATATATCTCAAGTATATATATATATATATATATAAGACTAGCAGTTATATTGTTGTATTATGTATATAATACTGTAGTATTTTGTTGTGCAGTCGCGTAGTTTATCCACTAGTCTATTAGTTGTTGTAGATGATGGTGATGTTGATGGTAGTGTTGATGGTGGTAAATCAGTCGATACTCAGTTTAATATGATTAAATATAACAATACTTTATTTGATTATAATAAGTTTTATATAATTACATTTATTGATTAATAATATAATGAACAGTGAAAAATATATATAAATTATTAGATCTCTTAAAACTGGATCCTGTATCCCATATCATTAACAGTTGCTTTTATACTGTTGAGGTCCATGGCTCCGGTACTTACCAATCACAGGTCAGATTCATAGTTGCATTAGTACTCCATTGGAGGATTAAGTATTGATGCAACAGTGGGAATATGTTTTTAGGTCTGTAACTCATTAGTTTGATGGTACAAAGTTTATACGCATTAATTATTATTTGTTTATAGTAATACTACTCTGAAATCAAATTTGGTTTAAATCTCTACCCGGGAAGTATTGAATTTATGACTTTAAACATTTATGTTTTTTTAAGTAAATAAGCATTGCCAGGAAGCATTAATTAAATGCAATTGTCTCTATAGTGGACAACACATGTTATTAATAAAATAGATATTATTGAAATATATTTTTAAGTTAAAACATATAACTATTTATTGTATAGATTTAATTTTTCCCTCATTTTTTACATATATAATTAGTGTTGGCAAAAAAGTGAAATTTATAAAATAATAGAGAAATTTCTAGAAATTTTTTAAAAGAAATTTCTATATATGTGATCCCCATGGTTAATTTTGTTTTCTCGATATTTGTTATCTTTAATATTGTTTTTATAAGTAATATTTAAATATTATTATTAGTATTTTAATTATTAATTAAAGTAAAAAAATTATTTATTTAATTATATTAAACTATGATATAATAAAATGGTGAATAAAATTTTACAAAACTTATTATTATTAAATAATTATAATTATTTATATAGGTATACCATTTGTATAATATAGTGCAGTATTATACAGTAATCTACATTATATAGTATAATATTATATGTATAGTATTATATGTCTCATTAATATATTTTTAGTTTTACAATATCTATAGATATGGGGATCCCATAGTATAACAAAAAAGTTAAATTTCTATAGAAATTTATTCCTGAGAAACTTTCTAGAAACTTTCTTAGAGAAATTTATTAGAAACTTTCTATTTGCCCATCTCTATATATAATGTATTATATTTACATAAAAGGGTTTTTCATATATTTAGCACATGCGGTTTTTGCTATAATTCTTAAACGGAGTGAGATATATTAATTTTGTAAAAAGTGTATTAATATATGATTTACGCGTGATATTATTAAATATTAAATTTTAAATATAAAATAGTCAAAAATAAAATGACGTTATTTATGGATAGTAGACACTAATTAGATAAAGATTTTTATACTATTACTTATTCTAAAAACAAATTTTTTTTATCACGAATATTTTTTAAAATAATAAAATTTAATTACAAATTACATTATCAAATTACTATGTTGTGCTTTTTATTGTAATTTGAATATCTAAAAAAATATTCGACATAAAAAAAATTTGTTTTAAAATAAGTAATAGTGTTAAAATCTTTATCTAATTAGTGTCTACTATCCATAAATAACGTCATTTTATTTTTGACTATTTTATATAATGTGTTATTCCACAAGTTTGAAAAACCATAAAAATTTTATTCTTAGACCAATTTTAAAAATTCTTTCTTTCCATAAATTTTCAATGTAAGCTTTACAAAAATATAATTAAAATTTTATTCTATCATTTATAGATTAGGTTCTGACATAGTGGTTTGCAAATATCCCAAAATAAATATGATCACGTGATCAAAATTAAAAATTTAATATTTTATAATATCACGCGTAAATCATTTTTTAATACATTTTTTACAAAATTAATATATCTCACACCATTTAAGAATTATAGCAAAAACCGCATGTGCTAAATATATGAAAAACCCTTTTATATAAATTATCAGTAGTTATCACTTATTTTTTTACTTAGTTTGCTATCTAGAAAAATAATTTTTAAAAATAAAATAAGCAATAAAACATTTTTATTTATTTATTTCTTATTAATCATTAATACAAAAATATGAATTTTGTTAAAAGCATACACTGTATAAATTTATAAATTATAATATATATACAGTATATACACATATATATAAAACTATATTTTGTGGTACAAATGCTTGAATTGGTTTAAACATCAGTTAACCCTGTATTTTGAAATATTAGTTTTTTTAAAAAGTAAAATACATATACTTTTTATTAACATTATTAGTTATGTATAAACAGTATAAGAAACATGTATTAAATGGTAATTATTATTCATATTTTCTAATATTTCAATTCAAGGTTTTATACTTATATAAATTATATACCGTTATATTAAATGTATAGTACTGTAAACAAAAATTGCATAAAAAACCAGTTGAGAATGCTAGAAAGCATTACCAAAAACAAATTTTTATTGCGTAAATTACTTGTTTTTGTCATATTATAAACAAAACATTTATTCCTAATAACCATTAGTCCATGTGAATCATTATATCATATCGTTCATGACAAAGTATTTATGTTGAAACAATATATTTGGTGAAATAAAATTTCTGATGATGCAATATTTATGGTAATGTAATATTTTTGGTGATGCAATATTTATGATGATGCAATATTTATGATGATTGCATCATCATAGTTATTGTATCATCATTATTATAACATCATCATAAATATTGCATCATCATGAATATAGCAAGATCATAAATATTGAATCATCATAAATATTGTATCATAAATATAACATCCTCATGAATATTGCATCATCATGAATATTGCGTCATCATAAATATTGCGACACTATAAATTTTGTATAACTTTAGATATTGTTTCAACATAAATATTGCATCACCAGAAATATTTTATTTCCATAAATATCTATGGTGTTGAAATTAAATTTTTATGTTTTATAGACCATTTTCTATGTTTCCGAAGAGATATTAAAATTTTAATTCTGATTCGTATAACTTTCTTATAATGTTTTATTTAAATCTTAACTTTAAAATTTTTAACTAAAATTTTTTGTACTTTGGCCGCCATTTTCTCTATGTTCCCGAAGAGATATCAAAATTTTAATGCTGATCCCCTATACCTTATTTTCGATGATCTAACCGAATCTGAAATCAAAATTTCAAAATTCACAAAACACACACACACACACACACACACACATATATATATAGAATTCATTAAACAAATTTTGAAAAAAAATTTGTTTGAAAATACTGTATATACAGTATTAATATACCGTAGTAGTACAGGTATATTACACTGTATACTTATTATTGATGTACTAGTACAGTATATAAACTATATATCATTATTGTAATTTATTACTTATTTATATGTTAATAATATTATTATTATTATCATCATTTTTCTTTTTAAACGTTTGTTAATAAGTTGCTAACTATCATTAATAGTTTTGACAATAATAAAATTAATTTTATTTGTATATAATTGTTTCATCAATTGTACTTTAACATAAATATATCATAATATATATATATATATATATAATTAAATAGTTTTTTTTAAAAAACAAAATTTATAAAACTATTGTTTATATTGTTTCAACAAAAAAAAACTTCATCAATAAGTAGAAAAATATTTGTTTTTTAATTTTAATTAAGTAATCACAATGAGTTTACTAAATAGTTTAAATTTTAATAAAATTTTTAATAGTTTTAAATTGTTATATAGAATTTTTTTTTAACATTAAATATCTATATTTTAATACAAAATAATTTTTTATTACTGATTTTTAAAAAAATTAAGTGACACATAAATATTAATCTTTTTAATTAATATATAAATTTATACAACAATTATTTTTCAAAAAAAAATGTTTAGAAAAATTATTAATTTATTATTATTATTATTAAGTTTATTTAATAATCAATTGATTCAATGCTACAATAAAATTGATTTATTGATTTGGAAAAATCATGATTTTATTCAACAATTATTTTCTCAATTCAATAAAACCGATGGTTTAAGTAAACAATGCAAACAAGTGGCCAACTATTTAGCTAATAATCCTAAATCTATTGAACTAATAAAATGTATGGAAACAAATATATTATCATTTTTTAATTATAAAATATATGTTTATTAATATTATAATAATAACAAATAATTTTTTTTTGTTTGAAAACTAGTGATCGATTCAAGTGCTGTCATCGGCTCAGGTATTATGAAAGGAAATAATCAATTTATGGGTCAATTCAATGAATGTTTGGATTTAATGTCAGAAATTAAATTAATTGATAATCAATTGATTACAAAATTTAATGGTCAATATTGTACACTAAATATGCCGATTAATTATTATTCAAAAATAGACAATAATACGGTTAGTTAATTTAATTATTAAATTAAAATTAAATTAAAATAATTAACAATTATAAACTAGAATGTAAAATAAAATAACTTTTTTTTAAGAAAAATTAATTTTATCAATTTATAATTATTATATATAAAGTCAATCAATAGACTATCGATTGGTATTTGTATACCTAATGTTTGCAATGAACAAGATTTAGACAATATATTAAAATCATGTAATTATTTTGTTTTTTTTTWAAAAAAGTTTATTTTCAAGTTTCAAAAACAATATATATAAATATATTTTTTAATTTAATTTAATTTTTTTTTCAAGTTTTAGAAACTACTGGTATTCAATTATCTATTGAATATTGTAGCGAAAATAAATATTATCCATTTAAATGGTTTCATATATTTATTATGTTAGTAATTGTTTTAATTGTTATAAATTAATTAATTAAAATTTTTTTTATTATTTTTTTTTAATTATTAAAGATGTGTTTTTTCAGTGATTGCTTTAGTAATACTAATAACTACAATAATTGATGTTTTCAATAAACGACAAACTAGTAAGTTTTAATTTAAAAAAAATAAAAATATTAATTATGAAAAATTATTTAAATAAAATAAAAATAAAATAAAATATTAAATTATTTTTATTATATAAATAGAGACAAATAGAATATTTTAATAATTTTTGATAAAGTTATTTAAAAAAATACATAAATATTAATAAAAATTAAATTAAAAAAAATTATCAAAATTGTTTTTTTAGAAACAAATTTATTTATAATGTTTGTAAATTAAAATTATATTTTTTGAAATTTATTTTGTTTATTTTTTTTGTTGAAATTAATAATTTTTCAAAATTATTTTCATAGCACCAACAAAATCAAAATGGTTTCAATGTTTGATGGCTTGTTCACTGTATACAAACACCTGTCAATTATTAAGCACCGGTAGTCATCATCATCGACAACACCAACAAAACAGTATCACATGTTTACATGGTTTTCGTTTTATATCTACCTGTGCAATTATATTGTTTCATAGTAATGCTTTATTAAGTTCAATTACTCCAATAGGTAACAACAATAATTAATAAATTATAATATAATAATAATTATAATAATAGTAGTATTATTAAAAAATAAATATAATTATATAATATTTTCTTAATTAATTTATTTAATTAGTTAATTAATTTAATTATATTTAAATAAAATTATTATATTTAAATAAATTATTAATTAATTAATTTAAATTTCATTTTGATAGTAAATTTTTTCGATGTCAAACTATTGGGTCAGAAAATTTTTATGCAACTAATAATCAATTTAAATAATAGTGTCGACGTATTTCTACTGATGTCGGGATTCCTGTGCGCCTACAATACCCTACGGGATTTCAATAAGTTTAAATCGTTAAGAAATTTTAGAGAAATTTTTTTAAAACTTATCCATCGATACCTACGCTTAACGCCGTCGCTGTTGGCAGTGATTGGTTTTTCAATTATTCTGGAACTAATGACTACCGGTCCCCTATGGCACCGGTATGTCAAACAATCAGTTCAGAGTTGTCATCAAAATTTTTGGACCAATCTATTGTATATTAATAATCTATATGATGCAGATAATATGGTATGAAATTATTAAATATTTACCATTAAATTTATCATAAATGTATAATAAATAATTTTCATAACTTATAGTTTATTAAAAAATAAAATAAAATAAAGTATAATAAATATAACATATTTGATAATAATATTATTAATAACAAAAATTTTGAAATTTTTAAAAATTTCATTTTTAAAATATATAATTTAAATATATAAAATATATATTTAAATAATTTTATTTAAATATAATAATTTTATTTAAATATAATAATTTTATTTAAATATAATAATTTTATTAAAAATCTAATTAATTTTTTTCTAATTAAATATAATTAGTGTTTATCTCATACCTGGTATCTAGCAGTTGATATGCAATTATTTTTAATTTCACCAATTTTTACAATATTATTGTCTTGCAAACAATATAGGTATTTCCAAATAAATGTTAACTTAAAAAATTTTTTTTTATAAATAAAATTATGTACCCTTTTTCCAATATTTTCAATTTTTTTGTGGCATATCACCCCTCCCTCTCCCCCATCAGTACTAAACTTAAATGTTGCTTAACTTGCTAATAATAATAATAATAATAATAATAATAATTATCTATTTTTTTTGTATAATTAATTATTAGTAAACAATATATAGGTATAGCTATCAATGTGTTGGCAATAATTGTTAGTTGGATTGTTATTGCAGTCTATTTAATCAAATATCATTCAACTCCAGTTTCAATTTCGGGACATTTGTAATATTAATATAAAAAATAATACCCTAATTTTGTTTTTGTAATAATTTACTTATAATTAAAATTAATTTATGATTTTTTATTAAAGAGATTATATATACGCAATTAAAATCTATATACAAGCCTATTGTCGATTTGGTTCATACAATATGGGTATACTATTGGCATACGTTTATATTAAACATAAATTTATAATCAAACCGGTTTGTTATTGTTATTATATGTTTAATATTTTTAGAAATTTAACTTTTTTTAAAAAATAGATTATTTTTCATATAAAATATTTTTAATTAATTAATTAATATTTTTTCTTTATTTTTTTATTGAAAATAATTTCATCCGCAAAAAAATTATAATATGGTTAAAACAATTACTATTGATATACATAAATAAAATTATACAAATTGTTTTTATAAACTAATTAACCAAACAAACAAATAGTTGATAAATATAATACTATGGTTGCTATCAATTTCGATAATATTGGCCATATATCTAATACCCTATCTATGGTCTATTGGCTACAGTTATGACAACCCGGCCAGTGTTATATACGGTACACTATTGCGTACACTACTAGCTCTAGCCATGGCCTATATGCTGTATACCTGTGCTACAGGACAGTCAGGTCCGGTCAATCGTATACTTTCCTGGTCAGCGTTTGTACCGTTAAGTAAACTATCGTATCAGACATATCTCTATCATTTTGTTATCATTCAGCTGTTTGTCTATACAGTTGAACAACCAGTTTATTATAATATAACTCAAGTGGTTTGTAAATAAAATTTTTTTTAATTTAATTAATTAATTAATTATTATTATTATTATAAAAATATTAATTATTATTTCTAACTATAGATTATATCATTTATTCAATGGTCAGTACTGGCAATTTTGGTCAGTTATGTGGCATATATTATGTTTGAAGCGCCTGTATCTAAGATTGAAAAAATTTTATCAAATTAATTAATATTTTTAAAAAAAATAATAATATATTCATAATTTAAAATTTATTATATAATAATTTATTTTTGTATCAAGGTAAAAACAAAAAAAAATAAAATTCACTTAATTCACATTTATCATATTATTTGGTTTCCAATAATTTTCTAACATAATAAAAACTTAATTAATTTTATTTATTATTATTATAACAAAATTCAGTTTTTTATTAATTATTCATAATATATAATCATTTTTATTAATTTTTTTTACTTAAAATTAATCAAAATCTAAATAAAAATATTTATAATTATAAATAATTGTTTGTTTAGTGTTTTTTCTAGGCTTATTGTTTATTAAGTAATAAATTATTATTATTATTATAAAAGATTAGTATATTAAGGGTAAATAAAATAATATGATCAAGATTAGTTATTTAATTTGATTTAATTAGTACTAAATATAGTGATTATTATTTAAAAATTAGACTATAATTAAAGCATGGTCATATTGTTTTTTTTATTTATTGATAATTGCTAATTGATAATAAATAGAAATTTTAACACATGTTTAATTATTTTTTTAATAAATAGATAATAGATTATTTAATTGAGTTAATAATTACTATAATAATATAATTTTAAAATTAGTGCATATATTTTATACACCAATAGACATATAATTAGATTATTATTATTATTTTATTTATTAAACATTTAATAAGTAGTTAATACTAATACTAATAATGTTAATAAAATCAATTACAAGTGTTTTACTATAATATAAAAACGATACATTGATTTAAATAAAATTGTTTATAAATAATGATAAATATAAAATAGTTTTTATTAATTAACAAATTACTAAACAAGTTACAAAAAAAAATAATAATTAATATAATAAGTTAAAAAAATAAAAAAAAATAATTTTTATTTTTTAAATAACAACATAAAACATGTTTAGACAACAATTATTGTTTCAATTGTTTTCCAGTTTAACAATTATTTTATATCTATTAATAATTAGTTGTCAATCAAAACAATTGCCAAACATTGTCCTAATACTGACCGACGACTACGGCTGGGCTGATGTTGGCTATCATTCCGATCACATGCGGACACCCAATATCGACACACTGGCCGCCGACGGTATTGTTTTGAACCGGTATTATACACTACCGTTGTGTACGCCCAGTAGGGCTGCACTGTTGACTGGCATTCATCCGATTCATACGGGTCTACAATCGCTGGTCATTGACGGCCGACAGCCAATCGGTTTGCCACTGAATGTCCAGCTATGGCCACAGTATCTCAAACCATACAACTATAGTACACATATTGTCGGTAAGTTTTTTATATATACTGTAGTTATTAGTGATAATTACGATGAGCTATAAAATATTTATAAATTTATAATTTTGATATTATATAAAAATTTTTCAAAACAAAATGTACTTATATTTTGTGTTAAATATATTTATAAATATTTATAAATTTGGAAATTATGACAAATATTTATAACAAACATAGTCTAGAGTTTAGTAGATATTTTTAATTATAAAAACTAATAATTGGTTTTAATTTTTGTTTGTTTGTTACCTAACCATCCATAGGCAAATGGCATCTGGGTTTCTATAAGCATGACTACACACCGACCTACCGGGGCTTTGACACACACCTGGGCTACTGGAACGGTGGCGAAGACTACTTTACCCATCAGGCGTGCGAAACTTCATGGACTACTGGGACAGGTATGTTGTTGGACAACAACAACAACAACGATACTGTATGCGGACTAGACTTTCGACATAATATGGATGTGATCGGCGGTGACGACATCAGCGGTAACTATTCGACTACAGTGTATGCGAACCGGTGTCTGGACATCATTGACAAACACGACACCCGACAGCCATTGTTTCTCTATATGGCCCATCAGGCTGTCCATTCAGCTGACGTATCCAATGTGTTGGAGGCGCCCGATAAGTATGTCGACATGTTTGCCAATATTAGGAATAAAAGGCGCAGTACTTTGGCTGCTATGGCCTACGCTATGGACGAATCGGTCGGTACTTTAGTCGATAGGCTGTACTCGAGAGGAATGTTAGACAACACTGTTTTGGTGTTTCTCAGCGATAATGGTGGTCAACCTAACGGAGTGTTTAGTAATTGATTTTATTTTTAAATATAATAAAAATTATACACATTTTTTAGCATAGATTTTAAAATTGTTAACCATTTTGTTGGTGATTACTATTTTTTTTAAAAAAGGTAACGAAGCTTATAATACACCCCTGAGAGGCGTCAAAGCCCACCTATGGGAAGGAGGTATACAAATGTTTATATATTTTTATTTATTAACTTAAAATAAATAAAAAACATTAATTCAAATTCACTAATTAAGGCATACGAGTGCCGGCATTCATATGGAGTCCCTTATTGAACACCAGTGGCTATGTATCCGATGAGCTGATCCATGTAACTGATATATTGCCGACAGTGTTGGAGGCTATCGGTGCCAATATTGAAGGACAAAACAATATATACGGTTTATTATACCAAACCAATAGTTTATTTACAATTATAATAGTTATTATATGATAATAGTAATTACTGTACTAATTATCAGGTGTTTCTCAATGGAAAACATTGACAAACAGGGAGACATCCCGGCGCCATGAGATCATACATAATATCGATCCAATACTTAATCAATCGGCTATTGTGCGAAACAATTGGAAACTGATTCAGGGATTCATACCAAATGGTAATGACTGGTATATACCGTCTACCAGTGCTGCAGCTGATGATGACAATCAACAACAACAACAACAACAGTATGCAAACTGGGACTTGAAAATCACAGACCGTCTCAATAGTAGTGCCTATAAAGTGCTGCAACAAATGCATAGACAACCCAACTATGATATGCTGAACGCGTCGACCATTAGGTGCGGACCAAAACCGGCCAACGCATCGACCAATTGTCAACTGGACAGAGAGCTATGTTTGTTTAACATACGGGACGACCCGTGCGAATATCATAACCGGGCTCAGGACTATCCAGAATTGGTCGAACAATTGTGGAATCGGTTGCTGAAAATCAATGAGACTACTGTTCCTCCATTGGCTCTCTCGCCCATTGATGACAAAAGTAATCCTAAATATCATAATAATACATGGATTTGTTGGATGGATAGCTAAATATTACTACAAAAAAAATCAAAAAACAATTATAACTATTATAATATTAAACAAGTATTTTATAGCAATTTTTAAAGTCATTTTTAAAAAACGGTTTCAAAACTTCAAAATGTATTTCAATTGATTATGAATTAGTAATAATGTTATCCATAGATCACAGAAAAACATTTATTAAGTAATATATTTTTCTGGTATTCGTCTTTAAAGTCGAAAAAAATAAATAAATTGACGTTATTTATCATATATTAGACATTATTTCAATGTATTTTTCTTCAATGTCGATAATATATTTAAAATCGAAATTCATTTTAAAATTTATATAGTTATCGATATAATGAGCTTTTTCAGTCTAAAATCGAAATTTATAGTAATACTTTAAGTATGCTAATTGAAAGTTTAATATATCTATAATTAAACCAGTTAAGAATGCTAGAAAGCATTTTCAGAAAAAAAACTTGAATAACATTGAAAACCATTAGTTTGTATAATTATAGCGGCTATATAATAACATATAAAAATTTAAAAACTGGTCAAATATACATAATATAAATATTGTCATGTATGGTATCAAATGATTCAGTATGACAAAATAATCATATCTATAATTATACTTTTTCCGCTTATACTTATTATTTTTGTTCCCGTAGATATCAAAATTTTAATGCATATTTTTTATCCTTGTTTTTGATGCTTTATTCAAATCTATACTTAAAAAAATTAAATTTTTTTTATACTTTTGGCGCCATTTAAAAAAATTATAATGATATATATCATATTTTTGATGCTCTTTACAATTCTAAACGTTAAAATTTTTACCTATTTTTTTACTTTTCATTTTCTTTATGTTCCCGAAGAGATATCAAAATTTTAATGAAACCTTTCAATACATTATTAGTAGTCCTCTAATCGAATCAGAATTTCAAAATTGGCAAAATGAAATGCTACAGACAGACTTACACACACACACACACACACACACACTAAAAAGGCTCATATAGATTTCAGAAAACAAAACTTTTCAAGTTTTTTTTTTGAAAATATATAATTTTATTTACTAAAACATAACGAATTTTTTTTTAAATAAAATTTTTAACAATTCAATCGTTTTTTTTTGTGTGATCGTAGTCTAGAAGTCTAATAAAAAATATTTATTTGAAATTCATTGCTTAGTTTATTCATTTTAGGTTATTTTAAATCTTTTTTTTATTGATTCGTAAAAATTTTTAATAAATTTTTACGAATCTTATCTATAAAAAAAAACATATGCCAAATGTCTGAAACAAAAATTGGTCAAAATAACTATAAGTTGTTTGCATTTTTACTATGTGTCCACTAATATAGTCTTCAAAAATATTCTGGCGAAATATATGGTATACCGTTGCCGAATGCATAGCAAAATAATTCCGGTTTTATTACAGTCGTATTGTCGGCTATTTACGAAAAATCGCTTAATTTAACAATAAAATTATTATTATATGTAACATCAAGATATTCGATAGTTTTATGTCTCCTAAAAAAAAAACGATTGTTCTTGAATGTATATAATTAATAGCATTGAATATCATCTGTACAGAAATGTAAAACGGTTTGGCCAGTGATGGCCAGTTGAATGGTTTATTAGTTTGACTTTTTAATAGATGATTCAAAATTACTAATGTGTTTTAAAATAGTCCGATAATGACATAACAAAATGTAACTAAATTATTTTTTTTTTTAGTTTTGTTTACACAAATATCATAAATCCTTTAAACTGTTAATTAACTTAGTTAAATAAAAGACTACATTTGTATTTATTTGTAGTATTATTAGTTTATTGAATGACAATCTGCAAAAATATTTTTAGTTTTTTTGTATTTAACGCGATATACGACTCCATCCCTATCTTCTTAATTTAAATCATACTTTTTTATTAGTAATAAATCATATATCATATATTAATTGATTATCAATTTGTCGGTTATTGGCACTATTTGTTTGAATAATCGTTAAATGAACAATTGTTAAAATACTTGAATTTCTTGAATATTTATATATTATATATGAAAATATTGGACTGTTTGATGTCTCCATGAAATGATTTTCTTTTAATGTATAAAATTAATATCACTGAATATTTGTACGAAAAACGGTTTGGCCTGCGATTCTGTAAATGTTGTAAAATTATTTTTTAATAATAAATGACTCAAATTTCAAGCGTTACAATACTCAATAATGACATAACCAATGTATAAATTATTATTAGTTTTGCTTATAAAATGTTTATAAATCGATATAATAATTTTATGTTTAAATTTTGTCAGATAAAAGACTCACACTTATATTTATTAGTAGTGTTATTTTTGTTCACTAATCTTGTTTTATTCAAAATTTTTACAATACAAAAAGTATATATTTAAAACTTGTTTTACTTAAAAATTCTTTTTAAAAATATTTAAATATAAAATATCACATTTATTAAAATAAATCGACTTATTTACAAAATCAATGTTAACTATTTGTTGACAATTGAATCTTTTTTTGTCATCGTATTTGAGAAGACCAATCAAAATAGATTTACATTCATTGGATAAAGTATTTGACGGTAATATTAAATCTTTTTCATTGAATCAAACAATTTTAATAGAATTTCCGGACTTTTATCAATAGAATTATACGGTTTTGTCTTAAATAACAATTGATAAAAACAATTAACCCAATACAATTGAATTATAAATGTTATATATATATCGGTTAGTATTTTATTTTTTATAACATAAGGTTTAACATAACCAAACAACATCTCAAACAGACATATACATAACCAAACACCAGATATCGTTTCCAAACGGTTCAAACCTTTCCATAATGTCTGATAGGCCTTACATTTGACACGATTTGCACATTATATGAAAGCTTATAACTTCCGGTGATATATAGTTTAATGTGCCGAACGCTTGCTTATTGCTTATTGTCTACCGTATGGCTTGTATTACATAAGCGACCACTACCTAAATCGCATAGCTTTAATTGTTTTTTATTATTGATCAATATGTTGGCCAACTTGATATGATTATTATGTGTATGTGTATGTGTATGTGTATGTGTATGTGTATGTGTATGTGTATGTGTATGTGTATGTGTATGTGTATGTGTATGTGTATGTGTATGTGTATGTGTATGTGTATGTGTATGTGTATGTGTATGTGTATGTGTATGTGTATGTGTATGTGTATGTGTATGTGTATGTGTATGTGTATGTGTATGTGTATGTGTATGTGTATGTGTATGTGTATGTGTATGTGTATGTGTATGTGTATGTGTATGTGTATGTGTATGTGTATGTGTATGTGTATGTGTATGTGTATGTGTATGTGTATGTGTATGTGTATGTGTATGTGTATGTGTATGTGTATGTGTATGTGTATGTGTATGTGTATGTGTATGTGTATGTGTATGTGTATGTGTATGTGTATGTGTATGTGTATGTGTATGTGTATGTGTATGTGTATGTGTATGTGTATGTGTATGTGTATGTGTATGTGTATGTGTATGTGTATGTGTATGTGTATGTGTGATCTGAACGATGATGATAGCCTTTGGTAGCGGCACTCTTTTTATTATACTTATATATTTTTTAAATACATTGGAGTTAAAAATAACCAAGATAAATGTTTAATAAAATTTATATTTGAATGATTTAGTATAATATTAAACACTTATCTATAGACTGTATATTTAAAATTTTTTAAGCAATGTACGGGTTTATTGAATACATAAGCATAAAAACAAAAACATTTTGAGTGCTTTTTAATAATAAGTTATTTTATTTAACATAATTTATTAAACAAATAAAAAACAATTCAATCAATTGATAATAATAACAGTATATATAATCAGATGACTTGAATTACTGTTTTCTATCATATCATTGATGATGTCTATCATTATGACCGCCAGTTTCTGCACTTACGTGTGCCGTACGGATAGGCATTGCATTTGGGTTTGGTTTCGGCTTTGACCAGTGATATGTAGATCTGACGCAATTCAGACCAATTGGTTATCGGACACCGGGTCTAACAAAAAATATTTTTTTTAAAAAAATAATTAAATATTAAGTAATACTAAAACATACAATAGTTTAAGCAAATACAGTACACACACACACACACACACACACACACACACAGGTGCACTGTAAACATATACTGTATCAATCAATTAAACTCATATAGAAATTATTATATAGCTATTAATATAATAATTATTATAATAATAACAACAATAAGTATCTATTAATATCTATTTTTTTTATTAAAAAACCAAAAATTATTAAATAAATGACATACGAGTGCATACTGTTTGAAACAGTCAAACGCTACCCAATTGAGGCAACACTTTCCCCGTTGTCTTAGTTTAGTTGTCGACCAATTCCACTGCTGTTTGCGCCACTGTTTCGTACAATTTTTGACCATCTGTTTAGTCAATTGTAGACAATCGGCCAGTTGTCTGATTTGGCTGGTCTTTGTCAATCGGCTATCATCATAATAGCCGGCACCGACATCAGCATCATTGCCGGCTCCCATAAATGTGTCGCTAATTGTCAGCTCAGGCTCTTGTGTTGCAACCAAACTAATTGCAAACAACAACAATAGCACCAGACTATTGATAATCATTAATGATTTTAACATTATGTTAACAATTGTCCAAAAAAAAAAATAAACTAATTAACAAAATATATACAATGAATGATTTTTTTCTAAAAAAATTAATATAAAATTTTAAAAAATAATAAAATTATTTTCTACTAAAAAAAGTTTGTAATGTATACGCTTTTTATATGATTTTTTTCTACTGTAGATATTTAATAACATTTTTAATAATTATTTTTTTCAAACGGGAAAATACTTAATATAGTCAATGCCTAAATTATGGTAGTATATTTATTTTATTTTTTGTAATTATTTTTAGTATAATTTTTATTGTATAGTTACCATATTTAGATAAATATGTAAAAAAAACATTTTGCTAAATTATTTATAAATTTATTACTAATATTTTATTGAATAATTATGGACTTAATTGATTGAAAAAATAATTTTCTATGAAATATTTAAAAAAAATAATTATGGTTTAATTTGTATAAATAATTTAATAATAATTATTATTGCAAAATTTATGATTATTATATTAATTATTATTAATAATAATAATTAATAAAAACTAAACATTTATGTTTTAGTTGTTAAACATAAACTATATATGTTTAGGTAAATTAAATATTATTATTAGTTTATTAATTAATAATTCAACAATTTTTTATCTAAATATATTACTTTAAAAAAATATATTTACTAATTGTGTAAAACAATATTAAATGTTTTCTTTTTAACAACAAAAATAATAATAATAAAAAACAAAAAATCTTATTTAAAAATAAGTTAAACAAATAAATATTTTATTATTAGCTAGTATTACTTATATTTACTTTTTAGTATTACTTATACATGTATTTACTGTTAGTATTATTTATACTGTACTGTATTTGCTGTTAGTATAACTTATATTTATTACTATTTGTATTACTAAAACTATCAAAAAAAATTCAATTGACCCGGACGTGATTTGAACACGCAACCTTCTGATCTGGAGTCAGACGCGCTACCGTTGCGCCACCGAGTCCTTATTAGATGCAGGTGTCAATGATAATTAGTAGCGTAACCTTACAGTGCTCAGCATACATACCATACCATACCATACCGTACACAATGACTGTTGTATTATTATGTAACAGTACTGTATTACTGTATATTATATAATACTGTATATACTGTACATACAGTGTATAGTCGTGATTATGTACAGATTAGTTATAAATAGTATACCAGTAAATAAATAAAAAAAATAAAATAATTTTTATCATAGACTTGTTGTATATTAAATGTTTGATTTAAAAAATGTAAATGTATAGTTATTTCATAATACTATTACTACTACTACTACTACTACTACTAAAATGATAATTATTAATAAATAAAAGTTTTACTTTTACTAAACAAATATTAGACTAACAATTAATTATTTATTTGCAATATATTTCATTAAAACATTTTTTCTGTATTAAAGTTATTGTTGTTGTTGTAATTATTATTATTATTAGTGACAGTTTAATTAAAAATAAATTTTTATTATTATACTATTAGTAGATTCAATTATTTGTAATTATTGCACGTTTAATAAAGTTTAAATTATATTTTAAAAATTAACGTTTTTTTAAAAAAAAGACACATTTAAATGCATTTAATATTTTTTACAGTTAATATTTTAATTTAATAAAAATTATTATAATTTTGTATGATCTGGATAAATTATAAATTGTTTAGTTAAAACACAAATCAAGTTATTTAAATAATTATAGTATAAAAACTTTGAATTTATGCATAGATTTTATACAAAAATAATAATAATTATTATTATTATTTGACATCAGTTAGTGTTTTAACAATTAGATTATCACTGATTTGTTGTCCACTTATATCTGGATCTGATGTCTGAAAAGTGGCCGTAAAATTGCCGTCAAATATAAAGAAACCGTTGTCCACAAACTGACCGGTTAGTCCTGATTTAGGTTTAAGGTCGACGACAACAAACGGTACGACACTATCGGCGCTCAGTTTAATGTCAAACATATATTTCAATGGTTTGTCTGTACGACCGGACACATGCTGTTGTTGTTTATGTACGGAAATCACCCGTAAATTAGATTTTACTAGTTTTGCTTGATTTGGTTTTGTCAATAACATAAAATTATTTGCCTATTATTTGTTTTTTTTTATTTTAAATAGAAAATAAATAAAATATATAATTAATACTGGAATAAATAATTTACAAATAAATAACTAAATAATTAATTAAATAATTACATGAATACTATGATCGCTATTATAGACATCAATAGATACGACACAATCGGCTCTCGTCCGGCATTTGGTGTCCACAGTCTTCAATAGATCAGGTATTGATTGACTATAGATTTCGGTAACCGAAAAGCTATTGCTTAGGAAATGGCCGGTAATTGTACGAACCGGTAGACATTGAGACCAGTTATACAAACGGATAGTATAGTTGAATGATAACATTCCCAAATAGTCATCCCTAACAAAGTCTATCTGTTTTTTATAATATATATATTTTAATTAAATATTTGATACATTACTACAGGTATGTCATACATAGGGCACATGACTAACAAGTAATACCATACCTTTAATTGTTGATCACTGTCCTCGTACGGTGTTACCAAATGGTTGGCCATAAACCGGATGGCATACGAGTGCAATACTTTCCATTTGCCAGTGCTCTCTATTGACGCCCAGGTAGGTGCCGGCCATATATCGTTCAGTTGCCAATACAGTGCACCCATTGTATGGCCATTGCCTTTATCGTCGACTTTGCGATTGCGGCGATAGTATTCAGTTTGTGTTTTCATAGACATGGCGTGTATTAATTGGGAACTATAGATAAAATCGTTTAGTCTATCGATACTGCCTTTCGACGGCTTTATCAGATAAGAACCTGTAGTTTAAAAATCATTTTAAAAAAAATCATTATCTTTTTTTATGAATGACAACCCCTGGCATACCTATCTGGCCGTCAATAATCTGGTCTTCAAACTCCTTGTGCTGATGATGTTCGACGGCCGGTGTCAACGGATAGACCAGTTCCTGGTCGGGGAAAGCCTGCATCAGTGTCTCCAATGACGGGAACGATTGAAAGCCGTATTCCGAGACGAACCGGGCGTTCGGAGCCGATCGCCAGTCCCACAGATCAGCCAAATCGTCATAGTGATGAACATCGCCGTAGTGGGTGTCGCCCGGATTAGCAGCCGTATAGTTTTCCCGTATAGTATCCAAACCGTTTGACGGACTCGACGGTACAAACGGACGTGTAGTGTCCTCCAGAGCTACCGCTTGGCCAATAGTGTCGGCGTATAGTTTGCGATAGTCCGGCGGGTATTGTGGTAAATGAGTCCACCAACTGGCCAGTCCTAACTCGTTTTCATTATTACCTATTTATATACAGTATATATATATATATATATATATATATATATATGTGGACAAAAACGGATTATCTAATAAGTAAGCACATGTATGTCAATTGTGGTAAATACCGGCCCAAATGGCAATAGACGGATGATATTGAAGTCGACGTACGTTTTGTATGACTTCCGTACGAACCGTTTCAAGAAACTCCTGGTTTGCCGGATACAGACTACAGGCAAACATAAAGTCCTGCCAAATCATAATACCGTATTCGTCGGCCAACCGATAAAACAGATCCGATTCGTAGACACCGCCGCCCCAGACGCGCATCATATTCATGTTTGCCTGTTTGGCCGATGATAGCAAATGTCTCAGATAGGGCTCAGTTAGGTCTTCCATGAAATTGTTGGCCGGTATCCAATTGGATCCTTTGGCAAAAAACGGCAGTCCATTGACACGGAAATAAAATGTCAAACCTTCAGGTTTGACCGGTTCTTGTATTAGTTCAATAGTACGGAAACCGATTTGTCGGCTTACGGCTGATATTTCCACAGGTGCTGCTGATGATGATGTTAGCTGTACATTGAGATCATATAGTTTTTGTGTATTGTTGGCCACACCGTTGGGAAACCATTGTTCAATAGATGTGTGCGACGACAGGATAGGCAGTACAAACAGTGCCGTAGACTCTCCTTTATCGTTGGTTTTCAATTTTATCAGTTTGTTTGCCAACAACTGCTGATTGTCTAACTGGATGTCAAACAGGCCGTCCAACTGGCGATTGGCGGCCGATTCGACAAACACTTGGACAGTCAGCGACCACTCCACGGGTACTTTGGATCGGTTAGCTATTGTCTCGACTGTCACATCCCGAATGATGGCACCATTGTATGCCTCAATGCCTATCGGTTTCCATATGCCTTGTGTCGGAAATGCCGGGCCCTTAGTATAGATAGATTAAAAAACTATTGATTTTTGACATCTATCCCATTACCCAATCCCATGCAAAAGAGGCGGCCATTTTGCGGACAAAATTATAATGACATTCACCATGATATTGGTCGGGAGGACAGTCTATTTATTTATTTAAAAAAATAATATTAAACATAAAGCACATGTAGTTTTTTCAAAAAAAATCTAATAATGTCATACCTGGTGCTACCGTATAGTTGTATTTGTTTTGAAACTCGCGGGACTTTTGTCGGGCATAGAGCGGTGCCGACTGAAAGTCCAGTCTCAGTGTGTTCGGGCCCGACTTGACTACCGATCGTATATCAAATCTGTAGCGTACAAACTGGTTGTCTGTCTGGCCAACCAACTGGCCGTTCAATCGGACAGTGCTAACCGTGTCGATACCGTTGGCCACTAGATAAACATTTTGCTTGTTTAGTAAACTAGAGTCCACTTAAAACAAAAAAAATAAATAAAATAGTTTTTAATTAATTAATATTATTATTTTTAGATATATGTAAAGTAAAAATACAATATTACCGCTAAATGTGCGCTCATATGTCCAGTTGTCGTATGAAACCCATCGTAGTTTGACATCATTGTCGGTAAAGTATAGGTTTTCGGGTATTATTTTGGCTGTCCTCAGATCAGTGTATATACTGCCGGGAACTTTTGCACCGATTTTTACAGCTAATAGTTATAAACAAAACAAAACAAAATAATATTAATAAATTAATAATAATACTAATTATAAAATCATTGATATATTGAATTTATTTATTTTTAAAAAAAATAGTAAATTTGTTTTAATAAAATTACATTTATTTTGATTGATTGCATGCCATTGATTGCCATCTAGACTAAGATAATCAGTTAGACAACTGTTAACTAATAGTAGTAAATATATGCCAACAATATATCTAATAAATATATAATATTTGTAAAACATTTTTAGTATTATTGTCCAATATATCGATATTTTTTATTATTTTTTTTGTAGTAAAAATATTTTCTATATATTTATTATTGACTACAAAAACAAAACAAAAATAATAAGTATTATTTGTGCCATATTTTTTAAGACTAATATTATAATGCGCGCCAAACATAACAAAGCACAACAAAAAAATGAGTATAAATTACGCAAAATAATTTTATTCAATATTAATATTTTCAGTTTTAATGTAATTACATTCAATTTTAACTACTTTTCGTATACAATTTTTCCAAAATTGAGAATCAATTAAATTAAATGAGTTGATTAATAAATTTTTAAAATCTATAGATGTATTAATATTAAGATTATTTGTTGATACTAGCTTCTTCCACTGCGCCCAAATTAATTCAATTGGATTTAGCTAAAAACAAGAGATTAGTGACAGACACCCGATCAACATAGACGACAAAAAATACATACATCACAATTATAAGGTGGTGTCCTAAGCGGTATATGTCCAGCTTTTTTAATTATTTCGTCAACCGCATACTTTCTAACTTTTTTATGCTTTTTAACTATTTTTAATAAATCTTTTTTCTTTGTTTTTTCATTAAATTTAATATTATTGTTAAAAAGCCATTCTTTAATTTGATTTACACGCCAACAAGTTGTAGGAGATTTATTTAAAATTCTTGAATGTATCTTTGCATTATCATAAACTATGACTGATTTTTCTTTAAGATTAGGGATTATTTGTGTTTCTAACCAATTTTCAAATTTTTCACTATTAATTTCTTCATTAACTGTTAAATATAAACCATTATTAACAAATCCATCTTCTCCTCCCGCATGAATGATATTATATCTTTTTCCGGGACCTGAAAATGTAGAGCTTAGTGATGGACACCCGATCAACATAGAAAAAACTTACCAATTTTTAATTTGATTTTATACTTTGCCTTATCGTTAACATTAACATCCAATGGCATAATTATATGAGTTGTTACTATGTTTTGATGAATGTAAGTTTCATCTAAATAAATGATTTGATATTTTTTTTCTAAATTAATTTTTCTTATTAAATATTTTCTTCTTTGTCTTGTTATTGCAGGACATTTAATTTTTTCTTCTCGAACCAAATCAATTGTTTTTTTCTTTTTATAACCTGCTTTTTTCAATAATCGATAATATGTTCTCTTAGAGGCATTTTTGAAAGACAAATTTGATCCAGATTTACTTCTATCAATTATTTGTCTAAATGACGGCAATTTGTTTTCTTTATGAAATTTTTTAATTGTTTTGTCGATAATATTAATATCATTTTGAATAATATTAAATCTTTTATTTCTTGGCCCTCTTTTCTTAGGTGAACCTAAATATCCACTAAAATAAGCTCTGCGTCAATATGGGGGTGAGGGGTATAATTTATTATATATATACCTTAAAACTTTATAGATTGATGATCTTGATCTGTTGAATTGGACCATTAATTGTTGAACTATTTGTTCATTTTTCAAATTTGTTTGAGATTTGATATCATTAAAATTTTGAGATATTAATTCTCTTATTTCCCGAGTCATAGCACATGTTTTGCCTCTATTTGGGCTTATATTTTCCATATTAATATAAATTAACTAATAATAACTAATAAATACTAAAAACTATAATTAATAATAAATATAATTAACTAATAATAAATCACACTTATAATAAGTTTATTGCACTAATAAAATATCACATGTAGTTGTTGACAATATTTATGTCCTTTTAATATTACTTTTATTTAAACGCATGTGTTTTAGGGCGCGCATTTTAAAACTTGTCTTAAAAAATATGGCACAAATATTAAATACTAGTAGACAAACAAATTATTAATTAATTTTTGTTATATATATCTCATAGTAACTGATAATATTTAGACAACAGTTATTGATTTATCTTTTAGTTGACATTTAGTTAAATTTATTGATAAAAGTTTATCAATAAATTTCCAATAAACTTAATTTAATATACAGTAATAAACAGTTATACAGTGTTTATACAGTATAGTAATTATCAAACTATTTAACATTTAGACAACAGTATAGCAAATATAAAAAATTAGTTAGCAATCAATTTAATTAATTTAAGTTTAATTGTAATACATTATTATTTATATTTAAAAAAAATATTTTGTGATTTTTTGTTGTTGTAAAAAACATGTATTGACTGTCAATAATACAGCTAAAACAATAATAATTAACAAAATAAACAACTAAAATAACTAAACATTAATTTATTTTATTATTATTATTAATATGCAATTAATAAAATTTTTTACTATTAAACCATAAAACTATTAATTAATTTAATAATATTAAAATAATTATTATTAATAATATGAATTAATTACAATATTTTTTTATGTTATGTCTATAATAATTATTTATATGAATACTATTTTTTGATTTTGTTAACTTATTTATTTTTTTTATTGATTATTAACTGTTTATCAATATATACAGTATATACTGTATATAAATAAATAAAAAATATTAATTATGTTGATTTATTATTCAAAAAATATTTATTTTGTTAGTTTGATAAATTACAACATAACATTCAAATATTAAATAGTATTTGCTTTAAAAACCTCATAAAAATTTAAATAATAAATCATTATTTTATAATATACTGCATAATAAATTGACATAAATGCAAATTTAATAAAAATACCATATTTAATTAATGTAATCTAATGTAATAATATTGAAATATACTAAATAAATATATTACACATTATAATCAATATTGTTAGAAAAAATAGTTAACTATATAACTATACTATAACTATTGAAATATATTAATCTATTATTATTTATATATAATACGATACATACGGTATGTATTTTTATAATAATATAGATTAATATATTTCATTTAATTTCATAATTTCATTTGCATTTGATATATATATATATATATATATCAATAATAATCTTTATTGTAGTGTATTTTTTAAGTAAAATATAATTTTAATAAAATAGATAAAAATGTGTTCAAATTATCTAAAATATTTAAAATATTTATTCAATCTAATGTGTATAATTGGTTTTACTGTACAAACATATAACATTAGTTTAACATATCTAACCTATAGTACAATAACCAATGTTAAATACGAGCACCAGGATCAATTAGCATTACCTGGACTAACATTATGTTTACGGAAAATGTCGGCAATAAATACAACACAATTATCGTTATTACCGCAATCATTGACAATTGAAAATTGTAAACGTGATGGCATAAATGATGATTGCAACAAAATCAACATGGTCATCGATCAGCTAGCAATTGGCAAACAATGGCCAATGCTAATTGATCGTGGACAATTGATACATTGTCAATTAAATAGCATGATAAAACAACAACAACATTCAAACAATATGAATCAAAATCAATCAATTGAAATGGATCTGGATAATTGTGATCAAGTATCTACAATACACCAATCACTAACTAGTGGTGGCTATTGTTTTACATTGTTTGGTCAATTAGATGATAATAATAATAATAATAATGAACATGGTAGATTATATCAGCAAAATAATGATAATAATAATAGCTATAGAAATAATTACGGTTCAAATATAAAATATTTGGCTACACTTACGCTAAACAGATCTCAAATGCAAACGTTTTTCATGATAATCATTATGCACTCGTATAGGGAACGGGTATATCATATGTATAGCTATAGAAATTCTAGACGTGTTATAATCAATGATGACGGTATGGGTGCTATTAGATACCGGGAGACTGTATTGGATGATAAAGTTAGGTCCAATCATCGGAGACATAGTTGTTCGGACAGTCGGACACGTCTAGAGTGTCTGTACGAGTGTCAGATTAGTCGGACATTGGAAATGACTGGTCGGACACCCAGTTATCTGTTGACATACGATATCCATAATACTAGTTTGTATTTTACTACAAATTCAACAAATAGTATTGAATCAGATTGTGAAAAACAATGCAATGGGCACCGGGAGTGTCGGCAACATTTCTATTCAATGGATACTAGCAAACAGTATTCAAAATTGTTGGGAAAACAGGAAAAATTTGTATTTTATTTGGAAGTACCGTCCGAACCGACCACTGTATACGAAATATATTTGAAACTATATTTCGAGGAATATCTGTGTCTATTGTCAAGCATTATGAGCCTATGGTTTGGTTTCAATGTATTAACAATTACTGATCTATTGTTGGAAATGTTTAGTAAATTTCTAGTTAAACATAATTGTAGACAAATTTTTAATATACAAAATACAATTAATACAATTAATACTACTACTACTAATAATAATACTAATAATAATATTGATAAAAGTAAAATTATTGTTAATGTCAATAATAACAAATCACATAAATCTACTAGGTTATTTGAAATTACTAGTCATAGTAATTAAATGTTATCATATAATTAAATTATATAAAATTATTTTATAATACTGTAGTATTTTATTAATATATATTGATATATTGTATTATAGTTTTTAATTTAATATTTAATTTAATGTATAATAAGTAAATATTTTTTTGTTTATTAATTATATTAACATTTTATTTATATTTCATTATTACAAATAAAATATTTTAATTTATTAAAGTTAAATAAACAAAATTATATATTATTATTATTAATAATAATAATAAAAATATGTAACATAATTATTATTATATCAACAACAAAAAATAAACTAAACAAATATTGAAAATAATAATAATAATCAATAATATACTGTATTATTAATATATGTGATTCTACTGTATAAATAAAAAATACATTTATTTAATAATAATAATATTCACATTAAATTTACTAGAAATAATATAATACCATTGAATTAAACAAAAAATTAATAAACTTAAAAAACAATTTAAAAGTGCACAAAAAAATATGTTTGAATTTATTCATAAATATTTTAAATATTTAGTATATCTATTGTGTATAATTGGTTTTACTATACAAACCTATAATATCAGTGAAATCTAT